CATGAATTCCGTACCTCGATTGGAAGTGACATGGGACAGGACACTGTGCTTAGAGAATACATGGAGTAGGAATAGGCGTACGAGGTCCGGGGAGGTAATGGTGTCATGAGTTGGAACAAATATTGCTTGCTTGGATAGGCGATCTATGACGACAAGGATGGCTGTAAAGCTGGATGAGTCTGGAAGTTGTTCTATGAAATCCATGGAAATGGAGTTCCATGGCTTTTCCGGAATAGGGAGCTGTTTGAGCAATCCATAGGGTTTATGTCTCAGAATCTTGGCTCAGGCGCAGGTAGTACAGGATCTAACATAGTCCCTGACATAGGTGTGTATTCTGGGCCAGGTATATTCATGTTGGATGAGTTCTAATGTCCAGTTTTGACCAAAATGTCTGGATAGGGGGTGGTCATGAGTATTCCGGAGTACATGAAGTCATAGATCATTGGATTCTGGAACATATATACGATTGTCACAGCAGAGGAGACCATCAACATCCACTGTCCATCTTGGATCTGAGGGTTCTGGAAGATGTATGGAGGCAATAGGGTCATTAGGGAGTGCAGGTCAGGATGTCAGTCCGGAGTCGTTCTATATCCATTAATACAGCTGCTCTAAGAACCGGAGTTGCTAAGGATGAGGCTCGTAGGGATGAAGCTAGCTGTTCCGTAGTGAATACTGGACGGAAATTATGAGGGTTAACTTGAGCGTAGTCCTTATCCCCCTCTTTGGGATAGACGTCCCAATGTCTAGTGAGGGAATCCGGTTTAGCTCCAAGTTTTCCAGGGATGGAAGTGGATAATGAGGTTGAACTGATGCAGGAATTCTGACCATCGAGCCTGACAGCGGGAAAGGAGTTTTGTGGTTGCAAAGTACTCAAGGTTTTTGTGGTCTGTGACAACATCCACAGGCTTGGAAGAGCCTTCCAGGTAGTGTCGCCAGGTCCGGAAAGCTTCATAAATGGCTAGGAGTTCCTTGTCATGGGTGTCATAGTTGAGTTCTGGAGCGGAAAGCGTACAGGAGTAGAATGCTACCAGACGAAGCTCTGAGTCTGGACATACAATGGAAAGTATTCCGGCGATAGCATAATCAGAGGCATCTGTTTCCACAACTATAGGAACGTCCAGCATCCAGTGTGTCAGCACCGGAGCGGAAGTGAAGGCTTTCTTGAGTGTTTCAAAGGATTTCTGGCAGTCCTTGGAAAAGTTCCAAGGGACATTCTTGCGAGTTAACCGGGTGAGTGGGACCACAATATCCGAGTAGTTGAAGATAAATCGATGATAGAAATTTGCGAATCCGAGGAAAGATTGGACATCTTTGACTTTCCAGGGTTCTGGCCAGTCAGTGATAGCTTGGATCTTCTCAGACGACATTGTAAGGCCGTCCGGAGATAGGAGGTATCCAAGGTATTCCACAGATGAGGAATGGAATTCGCATTTTTCCGGTTTAGCATATAGGCGATGCTTCCGGAGTCGATGTAGTACTTCTTGGACATGTTCCTTATGGGTTGCAAGATCTTGGGAATAAATGAGGATGTTGTCCAGATACACAACAATGCATACATCCAGCATATCCACAAAAATGCTATTGACAAAGTGTTGGAAAGCTGCTGGGGCATTGGTAAGACCTTCCGGCATAACCAACCATTCATAGGAGCCATAGTGCGTCCTGGAAAGCAGTTTTCCACTCATCTCCTTCCACTATCCAGACAAGATGATAGGCGGACCAGAGGTCGATTTTGGTGTAAACTTTAGCATGGCTTGGAGAGTCTAAGAGGTCAGAAATGAGAGGCAAGGGGTAACAGTCTTTCTTGGTGATCTGGTTGAGGCCTTGGAAATCCACACAAAGTCATAGGGAGCCATCCTTCTTCTTTACAAACAGGACAGGGGCTCCATGCAGAGAGGATGAGGATCGGAGGAGTCCGGTTGCAATGTTCTCATCAAGGAACTTGCAGAGCTCTGCAAGCTCGACCAGAGAAAGGGAATAGATAGTTCCAATGGGCAGATTAGCTCCTTCTTCCAAATCGATCTTCAGATCATATGGATGATGAGGAGGAAGTTGACTAGCTTTGCCCTTATCGAAGACATCTGCAAACTCCTGATATTCCGGAGGTATTCCGGAAAGATTAGGGGCTTCGGACAAGAGTGAGGCAGACTGGAGATCCAGTCCAGAGGGGCGGAGATAGATGCTGAACTGCTTGGATCCTTCCATCTTGCAGGCCCGGCAAAAGGCAACTGCATTAATGAGGGAAATATGCGGACCGGATTTATCAGCAGAGGGTTCTGGTGTAGTCGGAGGAGGGATTTCCGCCAGGAGGAAGAGGTTCTGGAGGCGGAAGTGACGTCGGAGGGGTCAATGGCATTCCATGAGGTGTCGTCCAGAATTCGATGCTGCCCAAAGCCCAGTCAATCAACAGATTGTGTCGGGTGAGCCAGCTATATCCAAGAACGACAAAACAAGATGAATCCAAAGGGGTAATGTAAAATGTATCAGAGGTAACTACACTGGATGAAAATCAGACAGGGAGGTCTATGGCTTCGGAAATATTGTTATTACAAGTACCATCAAATAAACGAAGCGGAAGCGGAGGGATCCTGTATGTAGGGATTTTATTTTTTTGGACAAAATTTGTATCTATAAAACAATGAGAGGAACCACAATCTACAAGAGACGGAAATTTGGAAATACTGGGATATGTTGGAATCATGATATATGGACAGAGTGAAGTCAGATTGGAAACAGAGACAGCATTAAGACGTAACTCCTTTGTATGGGTTGAGATACGCGACCCCCATCCCATACGGAGTCAGGAGGGTTGCGGACTATTTTTTCGCCTCGGACAAGGCTTCCAGTTTGGCTTCTGGAGTGACTGTAGCAGCACGGCCTTTGGCAGCACGCAAAGTCGATTTGTTGCAGTCCCAGGCAGTGTGTCCAGGTCCGCCACAGAATAAGCAGAGCTTCTTATCTAAACGCCTCTGGCATTCCTTGGAAGTTAGTTTTCCATCCTTACCCAACTTGGAGGTAAGGTCCAGGGCCTTGAAGCGGACGAGGTAGAGGACGTAGTGGGTTTTCTGGTTTATGTCCGGAATTCTGATTTCAGGATTTGTTACTTCCAGATCCGGACAAGTGGGAGCTGGTCCGGTCAGAGGCTGACTGCTTAGGAGGAGTGGATGAGGAGGGTTTGGTTTCGCGGGAGATCTCTCCCTTGCGTTCCCAATAATGGGCATCTATGGTTTGTGCGAGGGTCTTGTATTCCGGGAGGGTAGCAGGTTTTCCCATGTGGCTGATTTCGTCTTTGATATGAGCCGGAAGTCCATTATAGAATTGTCGGCGTAGGGCTCCATCACCCCATCTGCGGACTTGTGAGGCAAGCCGCTGGAACTCCACAATGTACTTATTGATGCGCTGTCCATCGCGCATATTGAGTTGCTTGAGCTGCATTTCTGCGTCTCCAGGAGGGGTCATGAGGTCCGAAATTGGTCTGGAGTTCAAGCATGAACTCGGAATAGTCATCCATCCAGTCCGGACGATCAGTATTCTTGTCAGAAAGGAGGTCTGGTTCAAACCATTCAAGGGCCATGCCTTTGAGATAGGATTGGGCAAAGTTGACCTTAGACCTTCCGGTATGGAAAGCATTGGGTTTGCTCTGGAAATTGAGTTCGCACTGGACAAAGAATGCTCGCAGTTTCCGGGGCTTGGTGCCATCAAAGACATCCGGCTCACAGACTTTGACCTTCAGGTCTTCGGAAAGGGTGGTGCGATGATTGTTTCAGGGCAAGGTTGTTGATAGCTCTGGATAGGAGTACCATGATGCAGTCCTGTGGATTCAGGCCATCGTTTTCATCGTCATCATCATCATCATCCGGATCATTGTCCAGATTTCCACCATTCCCATCCGGCGGATTTCCGCCAGGGGTATCATCATCATTATCATCATTGTCATCATCGTCCAGATCTCCTTTGCCCAGAGGAGCTAAGGCTGGGGTCCGTGTAGGGGTTTCCGGATGTTGACGACTCAGGAGTTCTGAGATGCTTCCAGCAGTAGCATGCTGGCTAACACAATGCTGAGAGAAGCTATTGAAGGTTTCGATGATAGGGGTAGAATCCCGGCGGGCGGAAACTAGTCATGCCGCTCGGAGAGGGTTTGTTGTTTTGGTAGGAGCCATGATAGATGTAAGTATACTCGGAAAGGTGTGAGTTCGAATATACTGTTAAGGTCACATGCTCAAGGGGGTTGGATCACAAGGGCTTGGCCTCAGCTCATATGCTGTGCCCCTTTCCCAAGTATGTGCCCTTAATTTCTGGGGGCTAGAACAGTCGTCCAGAGTTTCCGGGATTTGACTAGGGCGGATAACGGACGTCCGGATCTGAAACGTGAGATAAATCTGAATGACGTCTGGATGTTACCTGGGCAAGCAGATAAGACTAATCTGGATGAAGTCTGGACTAGAAACTAACAGAGGATAGACTACCTTAAGGTAGAGTCGGAAATGTAGTCTAGGATGCAATCCTAAGACTCAGAATATGACAAGAGACTTATCTCAAGTCCAGAGGACACAGGAATGAGCAGGAACTAAGATGATATTTGAACTGGAGTATTTCTGAGAGTTACAGGAGGTTTATATACTGTAGGTATCATATAGGAATCAGTCAGCAAACATAAAGGCTATGTACAAAGCATATGCAAAGTCTATTAGTAAGTAGGACAGATCACAAATAATGAACACCGGAAATGAAATGTATGTAATGGATCAATAATCAAAAGGGAAACATGGTTAACCGGAGTCCGGAGACAGGGGCAGTCTAAATGGAGTTGGGCACTGATATAGGGTTTGGATTCCGGAAGGGAGATAAAGATAGATCAGATCATTTGAGATCTGGATATCTGGAGAAGCAGATTTAGAGTTGAGAGTCCGGAATGGCATATGACAGGCGGGAGACTCACCTACAAGGTGAGTATCCAGGTACTCAAAAACATCAAGACACTGACCCGGTTTATAGCCATGACAGCCAACGAACACCAAGTTCTGGAAGCTCTCAGAGATCCCCCAACCTTTCCACCTAACATCAATGAGGACTCCGAAGATTTCAATATCAGTGATATATGTGATGGTACCGACACACTCCCTATTAGCCATGCTGGGGGAGAGTTTGGAGACCTTGCGAGAGGTGTTCTTGGTGAGGTTTGGAGATTGTAAGTGTGTGTTCATAGACCAACAGTAATTGACATGTACATCAGAAAAGGTTGAGATGGTCCTCACAAGGTTCAACATGTTGACAATCGCATGTGGCATGATCATGTTCTACAGAGAAATGTTGCTTTCAATGAGCAAATACAAGGGATGACTGAAGCATACCTTATATAGAGCCTGGAGAAATCACAGAAAGGCTTTAAAAATTTTTTGGATCACCTACACAGCAAAGGGACTGATGATGTTAATGGTGGTCAATGGCCAGTAACTGTAGTAGACACATTATGTGAGTCACTAGTTGGCGGTTTTGATGCTGATGTGAACAGTGAACAGTCACTGAGAAATTCATACTCAAAATATCATCGACCGACACTACCATTGCTTCTGTGCTCATTTGTCAAGGTGTCATGCCTTGCTCCCCAATATCGCCTGTCATGGGCATAACATTAGAAGCCCTTGAATTATATTGGGTGGCACACCTCAGGAGCCCTCACTTAGTGATTCAAGCTTTTATCAAGACTATATGTGATTTACTTGGGGTATGTTTAAGTTCTCACTTCAAGTTCTATTGTGCAACATGCTAAATACAGACAGGTTGAATTCCAATGGCACCTCTCATGTCAATTTTTGATTGCACTTGACTTATACCTTCAAATCAGATGGGTCATAGCTTCACTTGTAGCTGAATCGCTCCAATGCAACTTACCTGACTGGTGCCTCAAACACGCATGTCTGGCATGCACTTACATGCTAACTGACGAAAACCAGCTACACTTCAAGATTCTATATGCTATGGATGGGAACAATTCATTAAAACATATTCTACAATGCTCACTCAATGACAACAATGACTCTCTTGGTGTATTGGCTGAGCTTCCCACTGGCCAGCTATTTGTTAGTGACCATTATTTATCTTGTAACTTCATAGATGAGTTTGCACAGGATACCCCATTGGCTACAGGAAATGATGTGAGTGATTGATGCAGAGCTTCTGTAGAAACAACTAACACAATCAGCATCTGACAAACAACTCATGTGAAGGCCAGTGGCAAAACATGGATGATGTGAGACTAAGAAATCATGGGGTATTTATGATGAAACTGGCATCTTTGTTGCTGTGTGCCGCCATGGCTTTTGTTTACTCATCACAGACATGGTGCAGAGCAGGGAGCTGTAAGTAATACATACTTTTGTTTTATGTTTCTGATTGGTGTTCTGATAGCACAAAGTACCCCCTGGCTGTTGTAGCCAAGCTACTAGATGCATTTGGTGACAGTCTGGGTGGTGGTTATGACATTGGCTGTCAATTTGAGACCACTCTCAATAACAGCTCTGTTGGACCCCTTGCGCGCTCATTCCATCATACTTGCCTGGTTGGTGCATTTCACAGACATGTGTACAGGCGAATATGTCAGCTTTCTTCATTGACAACCTATGTCAAAGGTCTTGGGATCGAAGACCTGGAGACTTGTGAGCAGATGTTTTCAAAGTCAAATTCCCTGGCCTTGGCTCTATGGTATACTAGTGTCTTCCACCATCAGCAGGCTATTGATTCATACTTTGAGCATAATGACGAGCTTGAAATATATGGGAACCTTAGTATGTCAGTCTCTTTATCATATATGAGTGCTCGCTGACATAATTATTTGGTGGTTAGCAAATTTCTTGTACAATAACTATAAGTGTCATATGCCATTCTGGACTCTCAACTCTAAATCTGCTTCTCCAGATATCTGGATCTGAGATCCGGATCTCAAATGATCTGATCTATCTTTATCTTCCTTCTGGAATCTAAACCCTATATCAGCGCCCAACCCCATTTAGACTTCCCCTGTCTCTGGACTCCAGTTAACCATGTTTCCCTTCTGATTATTGATCCTGTTACATACATTTCATTTCCTGGTGTTCATTATTTGTGATCTGTCCTACTTACTAATAGACTTTGCATATGCTTCATACATAGCCTTTATGTTTGCTGATTGATTCCTATATGATACCTACAGTATATAAACCTCCTGTAACTCTCAGAAATACTCCAGTTTGAATATCATCTTAGTTCCTGCTCATTCCTGTGTCCTCTGGACTTGAGATAAGTCTCTTGTCATATTCTGAGTCTTAGGATTGCATCCTAGGCTACATTTCCGACTCTACCTTAAGGTAGTCTATCCTCTGTTAGTTTCTAGTCTGGACTTCATCCAGATTAGTCTTATCTGCTTGCCCAGGTAACATCCAGATGTCTGTCAGATTTATCTCATGTTTCAGATCTGGATGTCCATTGTCCGCCCTAGTCAAATCCCAGAAACTCTGGATGACTGTTCTAGCCCCCAGAAATTAAGGGCACATACTTGGGAAAGGGGTACAGCGTACGAGCTGAGGCCAAGCCCTTGTGATCTGACCCCCTTGAGCATGCAACCTTAACAATAAGCAAGCTCTTGAGATTCTGGCAAATGGCAAAACTGTCCTACCGAAGGTTATGCAAGACCTTGGAGTCAAGGACATGAGTGTTTTCAAACATTGGCTTGAACAAGAGAAAATTTACCTTAAGGGTCTGGCACGAGAGCCCAAAGAAGAGACACTTCAGATGGAATACTGGCAGTCATTAGTGAATCTCAGTGCAAGCGGGTAAGTTTTACTTTGACGTATCTCATTGTTACTGATACCCTCAAACAGTGTCACTCTTGATGCAGCAATGAACATGTTCAGAATACCTTCTCAGCCTAACAATCTACCATATGATGCAGATACTGGAAGTACATACGAAATTGAGAGCATGCAGCGCCATGCTCTCGAGGTCTATGACAGAAATTTAAAGTTAGTTCAAGCTTTAGAAAGTAAACTCAGGATCATCACTCACTGGGTTCTGGATGATGGAGAGTGGCAGAGGGTGGGGAGGCTCGTAGCCAATAGGAAGTATCAACATGCGCTGGACCATCTAGAAGGTTTGGTTGTTGCTTGTATATTTGAACTTTTGAAGATGAACAGGGCGGGGACAGGTGAGTTTAAGTTAGGCTTGACTTGTTTCAGCTGATTACATCTATATTTGAGGTTACAAACTATGAAAACACATTGCAAAGGCTTTGCAGATGCACTCCACTGCCATCAGATCTGCCCTGAACACATACAACAACCTTGCTAGTGCAGTGTATCCCCCCTGGAAAATGCTGAAGTGGGAGGAGGTTGTGGAGTATGCCTTTCTCGCTGACTTCAAGCTGCTACAACACATGCGCTCTGATATCTCTCAACTGCCTTGCTCTTCACCAGCAGCTCAGAGTGGGATGGATCTTCATTTCAAGATGTGCTGAGCACATGAGGAGATTTGTCATCTGGATATTGAGATTCGCCATTTCATGACCTATATATGAGATGAAGACAAGTATCTGTGGGTGTGTGAAGATCGACTAACAGTTGCTAACCCTGCCCTTGCCCATCAAATCGCTATACATCAGAATGTTCAAGGCTGGTTCAACTTACGCCATATGAAGCGGCTTCATGATATCTCACAGCTCCCTGGTTTCACTGGTACACTCATCCCTGGTCTAAGTGCTTGCACCAGTGTCAGAGAGAGTGCTAGCGTGCCAGATCCTTGGATTCCTGCCAATATGTTTGCTGCTAATACACCTGTACACAGGCCACCATCTTCTGTAGGCACAGATACTCAAGAGGACCTAGATGAAGAGGAGGTGGCAGAGGAGGTGGCAGAGGAAGCCTTGAGGAGTTTGCAGCATATCATCCTCATCACTGATGACTTCTTGCAGCTTCAGGTTCTTGATGATGGTGAGGTGGAGGAATAGTCTAGTTTAGCCATTATACTGCTGCAATGTACTTCACTCATTATGCTTACTGTCAAAACACACCTCTGATATGTCTGAATATTGTGCTCATCATGTATGACAGCAAGCATGAAGGTTCACATGGCAGGCGCAGAATAGCCAACATCAGGAACATTACCTGCATTAGAGCCAATGTCTCACGCCAGCTTACATAGGGCTACAGCTGTTTGCTTTTATTATAAGTCAGTCTTTAACCAAGAGATATTGGAGGAGGCTTAGAAACGCTGTAAGTCCGTCATTTTAGACGTGCTAACCCTATCCATAATCACGTCTAATTAGAGGCAGTACGTGGGAGTCACAGGTGGTTTTAAGATAATATAATACCCAAGTGCACATACATCAGTGGTTTGGTAGTGGTGGCTCTGATGGCTCTGGTGAGAGGGGGGGACTGAATGGACTCCCAGGCTATTGCCAGGAGTAACAGCAGGAATGAGAGTTGACAAATGGGTAAAACTTCCCTGTAAATTTTTTTCTTCATGCACTGTGGGTCTCAGGAGTGCCAAAGACCTTGCTGGATATCCATTTATCCAATTGGGGGGAATGTTTGTTGAGGATTAGACTGAACTAGATCGCATCACACGCAAACCCAATAGACCCACTGACTCCTGAGGCTCATGCAATTATGTTGATTGGGTGGCAGGATTGAAATCTGATGTGATGGTAAGTAGTGATAATGGTCACCAACTTGAAATGGGTGGAATGTTCCTGCAAGAATTTGTCAGACACTGTGGACCACCAAAAAGACCTTATCCTTGTTGGATGTTCACTTAGCCATAGATGTCAAAGAAAAGAACAGTGATAATCAGGGTGGAAGTCTGTCACTTGTGAAATTTGAATGGATCCAGTCATGATACAATTGTGCTTGTTGGGGAGAGTACAGTGGAGGGAAGGATGGCGACATTGAAATCTGAAGATCCGGTGCATAATGGTAGTGATGCAGAAGCTAAATAGGTTGTTTCGTGAAGCAGCATGCCACACCGAACAGGTGAAATTTTACTGCAATAATTTGTTCCTCGTTTAAATACTGGAGTGGAAGGCCAAAAAAAATGAAGAGTGATGATTTGGATGCTCGCATATCAAGATATGAGGATGGACATTTGACTCACTGAAGTCACAATTCTGCTCACTGGGGAATTCAGTGGCACTGTGGATGAGGATAGTGGCTCTGAAATCTGATGGCATCATGTTAGTGATACAGATAATCTGCGAATTTGACTCTATCAGTGATATCACGCACTGAAAAAAGGAGGTTGTGATTATGCTTGTTGGTGAAATCACGATGGCAGCAGTGGATGATGTTGAGAATTGAGGCTGAAGTGTGATTGATGCATGAATGATGATGCAGTTGTAAGATAGACCACTGTCATACATAGCTTGATCATGTGATCAGAATCATGACATTTCGTGACAAAAGTGTGAGAATTGCATCTCACCCTTCAAATTGTCTTTGATCACCAAAGTAAAACCCAGGAAAGTTGACTTAAGTATATCCCCAGAGGACCTAGGTTTTATAATTAGAGTATGTCTCAAATTGAGAGCAGAGATAGCTTTTTTGTACTTGTTCTATGATTCATTGTGCTTTGTCAGCAACTTGACATATAGATCCACTTGAGTAGACGGAACCAAGTACACTACCTCTCTGCTATGCTGAAATAGAAATTGTGCAATGTTGCAAACCTTGGAAGTTGGGCAAAGTCACTTGGTCACTCAGAGGACAAAGAGAATGTAAGAATGTTGTTTAAAGCAGCCTACAGGAATACTAACACAATGGCCCCAGAGTCCACCAAAAATTGATGTGTCTACTCCATCCAGTCCAAAGAAGAAAAAGAAAAAGAGAGCAAACATTACCACAGTACTACAGGATCCTCCTCCCTTTGTGCTACAAATACCAGAGTGCTTCACCAAGACTCAAAGAAAATTCCCTTGAGTCTGAGCCAAAGCATCCAAGTAGAATAGATATTGCAATGGGGCTTTACAAGCCCTCACCCACTGTTGAGGAGGCACACCTAGCCTTCAATGACATCAAGAGGATTCTTAGACCACCAAAGAAGACTGCTGGTTACAAAGACCCTGAGCTTGACTCAGTCTTTCATTGCTAACTTAAAGGAATGAAGCAATTCTTATGGGCCTATGTTGACCCTCAGTCTTTGGCATATGGAAAGTGGACAATGGCATCATTACTTACTGCAAAGGCTGTAGAATGGAAGTCTGCACACTCATGAGTACTCCATGAATGAGTACATGCCTTTATTGCAGATCATGGGGACCTCCCATTTAATATCTATGGGACATGGAATGAGTCATTACTTGACAAAGATGAGGAACTTGCACAGGAAATACACATACATCTACAAGGAGTTGGAAGATACATGAAGGCTATGGACATTATTGACTTCCTTGATACACCAGAAATATGAAAACAGAGTGGACTTACAAAGTGAATTAGTCTTGCGACTGCCCAGTGATGGATGAAAAGGCTCAAGTACCGCTGGACAAAAGACCCAAAAGGTCAATTTGTTAATGGTCACAAGAGATGATGTTGTGGCTTACCAGCAGAAAATTTTCTTGCCTGCATGGGCAGCAATCAAGGAGAAGACTTGAGATTGGTCTTGTCACAAGCAAGATGGAGACTACTCTCATCCTGAAGAAAAGAAGACTGTCATATGGTGGCATGACAAGTCCACATTCTATGCAAATGACTGTTGCAAGACACGATGGGTCCACAAAAGCAAAACAGCCATGCCCTATGTGAAGGAGGAGGGACCATCACAGATGATTGGGGATCTTGTTTCTGCTGATTATGGGTGGTCGTGGTCACCTGATGGAAAAGAGGAGGCTCACATCTTCTTCAAAGCAGGAAAAAATTGTGAAGGGTACTTCATGAACCAGGACATCCTTGAGCAAGCTGAAAGGTCAATGGATATTCTAGAGAAGTACTACACCAATGAAAACCATGTTCTCATATTCAATAATGCTACGACTCACTTAAAACATGCAGATGGAGCTCTCTCTGCAAGAAATATGCTGAAGGGAATATCAAAGGTGGGAAACAATTGGGGTATGGAGGTTAATGTTTGAGATACAGCTGGCAAACAAGTTTACACTGCAGATGGCAAGCTGATGAAAGAAAAAATTTGAATGGATGATGCAACTTTTGTGGACAGCTCAAAACAGTCACTTTATTTTGATGGAGATACTGGACCAAAAGCAGGCCTCTTCAAAGGAATGGCTGTAATCTTGTATGAGTGAGGCCTTATTCAAGAATTTAAACTGTGGGCACAGTGGAAGGACTTCAAATATGTGAAGGGAGCAACAAATTGCTGTTGTCATCAGGTGCTGTACAATCAGTCAGATTTCATTGCTGTCAAGTTGAATCTTGAGAGGACATGCAAAGCAAGAGGGTTTTCAGTGTTATTCCTTCCAAAGTTTCACTGTGAACTTAACTTCATTGAACAGTGCTGGGGATATGCAAAATGAGTTTATTGTCAATATCCTGCATCATTGAAAGAAGCAGACCTTGAATGGAATGTTCTCTCAGCTCTTGAATCAGTGCTGCTTGATAGTATGTGCCAGTGCATTCATTATTAAAATCTTACATTAAAATGTTCACACCAATCAGGTTTTCAATATGAGCCTGGCGGTTCATGGATGCATATTATAAAGGATTGAATGGGAAACAAGCTACATGGGCCTCAAAAAAATACAAAGGCCACCGAGTACTGCCAGATAATATTTTGCATGATCTCAATGTATGATAGCAACTTGATAGCAGCTGTCAATAGTAAAATGTAACATAATGTCACAGTTGGCCACTGTCATATCCCACAATCTGGACCCACATTCCATCATATTCCCACGCCTTCTGAGCCTACATCTGGACCCCACTTCATATTCAACTCATTCCCAGATCCCCTTCCACTGTGTGCTCCACACCTCAGCAGGATCAACTCTGCTCTAGATTTACCCCTGAGCTCCAGATCATCAGATCTCTACTGCTAGCCTGATCCATACCCCCCTGTCCCATCCACCCTATGCACACTCCATCCAGCAAGACATCCAGACTTCACCTTGTCTTGGATTCTGGACTATATCCACCTCCTCATATCCTGGTCCTGTATCCACCTCATCTTCTGGATCCTCAGATCTCTGGACCTCCAGATATCAACCATAACTATCTCTGGATGTATTCCTGCCCTCTGTCCGATATCCTGTACCTATCCCCATTTAGACATCTCTGTCTTTCTGGCTTTCAGTTACCTCTTGTTCTGTCTTGCTTATTGATCCTTGTACAAGTCTTCATCTCCAAGTTCATTTACTTATGTTCTGTCTTACTTACTAATGTGTTTCCACATGCTCATACATAGCCTTGCTCCTTGGCTTACTGATCCCCTCAGATATTCTGCAGTATATAACCCCTGTAGATATGCCTGTAGTTTCCTTAGTTTGAATATCATCTTAGATCTGTCCTCATCATCTTAGACTTTGCTCTACTTGCCCAATCCTCTCTTGGACTTTGGTCCACCTAAGTCTGTCCTATTCATCAGGCCTAGGGATTAATTCCCTAGGCTGGAGCTTTGCTTTTCTGGCACTTACCCTCTTTCTGGACTTAGGTCCAATCCCTGTCTTTCCAACTCTACCTTAGGGTAGTCTACCTCTGTTTGTGTCTATATTGGACTCTGTCCAATATAGCCCCTATTCCTTCCAGACCTCCAGGTGTCCTGTCCTTTGGACATCCTGCCCTCTGTATCCTCCATACCTTCAGACATCCTGTCCTCCTGTCCTCCTGTCCTCTGGACCTCCTATCCTTCCATCCTGTTTCCTGTAGAAGTATTACTTGCAGTGGGAACTCTCCTGTGCTCCTCTGGACATTTCCCATGCTCCTCTGGAAGTCCTCTGGACTTCATTGGACCATCTTTGGACTTCCTCTGAAATGAAGGGCACATACTCAGGTAAGGGACACAGCATACAAGCTGAGGCCAAGCCCCTCTGAGTCAGTCTCTCTCTCCTTTGAGCAAACCAGTTCTTAACACATCCATAGTCAGTTACTGTTCTAGATGAACATGTGCATTGGCCAGTAATGAAGCAGCACCAGCCCCAGATTCACTTGAAAATACAGTGGCTCAAAAAACTGTCCACATGTTTTGACATTTTTCACTATCTATGATATTGTGTGAGAACAAACAAATGCCTCAAGGACATGCTTATAGCACATTGTAGTATGGCTTCAGGGCTTTCATTTGAGCCCTACACCGTGGGAATCGGTGGAGATATGGTGGAGACATAAGGCTCACAAAATGGTGACTCATGCAGACAGTTTTTTGACTCAAGTATTTTACAATAATAACCAGGTATTCTAGTATTTTGTATGACCTCCCTTGGCTTTAATTACTGCCTCTATCCTTCCAGGCATACTCTCAATTAATTTCTGGCAATCCTCAGCTGTGATCTTCCCCCATTCCACTGCTACTCTCTTCCAAAGCTCCCATACTCCTTTAGGGAGGTTTTCATAGGCTTGAAGCTTTTTCTTGAGTGTTTCCCAGAGATGTTCAATGACATTGACATCAGGAGACTGTGCTGGCCAGTCAAGAACATTGATGTTATGTTCTTCAAACCATTCCTTAGCTCTTCTGGATGTGTGCTTGGGATCATTATCCTGTTGGAAAATGATATCTTCTTCATCAATCCCTGATTCTGCCAAGCTAGGCAGCAAGTGGTCATTTAAAATGTCCACATACTGCTCAGCATTCATCTTCTCCTCAACCTCAGCAAGCATTCCCACACCATTCCATCCCATACAGCCCCATACCATTAAAGAACCTCCTCCAAACTTGACAGTCCCATTAACCTCTCTGTCTGTTAGGCCATCTCCCTTCTTTTTCCATACATATACCTTCCCATCTGACCCAATCCTATTGATTTTGGTCTCATCTGACCATATAACATGCTTCCAGTCCTCTACAGTCCAGTGTTGATGAGCTAAGGCAAAGGCTAGTCTTCTCTGCCTATGTTTGAGGAAGAGAAGAGGCTTTTTCTTCTTTGTTACTGCCTTGAGATGAGCTGCCTTGAGAACATTCCTCACAGTTTGTGAAGAGACAGGGGTAGTGATGGTGGAATTGATATAATGGGTGGCTTGGACAGCATTATCAGCCTTTCCTGTAGTGATATGTTGGATAATAGCCCTTTTGTCAGTAGAGGTAAGCTTGGATGGATGTCCTCCACAAGAGTTTTCCTTGTCTGGGTGGCTTTCTTTAATAAACTTGGCCACAGTGGACTTGCATACTCCAGTTCTAGAGGAAATTTGGCAAGCAGAGAGGCCAGCATAAGACAGAGAGAGGATATTATCTCTTTGAGCAGAGGAGATGGCTTTCATGGTGATTATGACTATGATACATGAGATATTCTGGTTTATATAGTTAGATATAGTCATAAAATAACATAATGACACCACTTCATAATTTATATAATAGTGGCATGATTTTTGTGGTGTCATAAATAATGATTTATATAGTTTTAATATATACTCAAAAAACTGTCCACATGAGTCATCATTTTATAAGCCTTATGTCTCCACCATATCTCCGCCGATTCCCACGGTGTAGGGGTCAAATGAAAGCCCTGAAGCCATACTACAATGTGCTATAAGCATGTCCTTGAGGCATTTGTTCATTCTCACACAATATCATAGATAGTGAAAAATGTCAAAACATGTGGACAGTTTTTTGAGCCACTGTATTGTACCAGGTGTGGCTTGCATGCCTTCATAAACAGCAAGAAAATATTCTGCCAGTATTCAATGATGTCAGGATGATCATGACCATCGAAATATAGGCCTTTCTTGTGTGAGATATATTGGAAACCTTTGAAGCGCATCCAACGATGAGCAGTGCTCAATGAAACACCACATGCAACTTTCATATGGATGTGGGGAAAGAGTTCCAACTCCAGGTACTTCTTCAAACCTTTCAGCATCTCTTCATCAACCATGTGCTGCAAGTACTTGCTGGCTGCGCTGTGAATCAACTTCCCACTGGCAAATTGGGCGAGCTTTTCGGGATTAACAGCCCATTTGTTGGACTGAAGATAAGTCCTGCACTCTCCAGAGATGTCAGGGTCACTGAGGAGTGAGTATACCTTGGTGTGGCACCTGCAATGAGATTTTGGCAGCTCATGTGAGTTCACCCAGGCCTGAGTCTAGCTGTGGAGCTGCCTTCCACCCCATCCTGATGCAAAGCCATGTGATTCTGCAGCATGCTGGGATGCATCAGTGAAATTGTGTCCATTACAAACAACCAGAGCAAGATGACTTTGGACAGTGTGGGCTCATTTTGCTTGGAGCCCATGAATCCCTCCCACAAATTGAGTCTTTTTTGACAAAATGACCTTTTCAATGTCTCATAATGCTGCTGCAAGGTCATCAAGTTGCCACTTCTGCTTTTCAGCCCTTTCCACACAATATGGAACATCAAGTTTTCAACATTTCAGTGGTGGCACCATGGGATGGTGTGAAAATGACTCAGTGGACTCAGTGGTATCTTCCTTGTCTTCAGTATCCATGGAGAGATCAGAGAGGTAGCCAAATATGTGAGCCAGGCTTTCATGAGGAGCAGGGTTTCCAGCTGACTCAGAGTGTGTATGTGGCCATTTCTTGACAGTAGGCTTTGTGTGAGCCTTTGGGGCCTGTGCCACCCAGTTCCACATCATCAATACTTGTGGGTCATTGCTGTATCATCCAAGTCTGACTGTGAGGTTCAGGAGTCACAATAATGTTGTACTGGACACTCACGATTTTTTCACAGTGATACATTCCCTTTCACAGTCGCATGCAGCCTTCATGTTTTGCTGTGCTGTTTGAATTGAATTCCTGGTGTACCCCAAAGCCCTGTTGCTCTCCACTTTCTGCCAATCTTTCATTGTCATTTTCAAGGCTGCACTAACTTCTTCATATTTTGTCGGGCACCTTAGTGCCTCAACCTCAGCTCTTAGCACCATCAAATTCTGCTCCAGCTCTTCACCCTCAAATTCCATGACACTCTCATCACCATTAGATCAGTCTGAGTCAGAATCTGGTGCATAATTACTGTCTTTGGATTAGTAGCAGTTGATGCTGCTTTTGTAATCATACTCATTCTTTACATCATCATCATCGTGGCCCACTGGTTGAGCATCATTGGGTTCTGCTGGGTGGTGTTTCATGTGATGAAAGGCTCAAGCATGTGCAACTGCAGTTTTTTTGGCTTTTCTGGCCATGATGAATGGTCCTCGTAACAAGGGATTTATTTGGATTCACCATCACTAGGTACTGCATGAAACTGTCATATGCCATTCCAGACTCTCAACTCTAAATCTGCTTCTCCGGATATCCAGATCCGAGATCCGGATCTCAAATGATCTGATCTATCTTTATCTCCCTTCCGGAATCCAAACCCTATATCAGCGCCCAACTCCATTTATACTGCCCCTGTCTCCAGACTCCAGTTAACCATGTTTCCCTTTTGATTATTGATCCATTACATACATTTCATTTCCAGTGTTCATTATTTGTGGTCCATCCTACTTACTAATAGACTCTGCATATGCTTCGTACATAGCCTTTATGTTTGCTGACTGATTCCTATATGATACCTACAATATATAAACCTCCTGTAACTCTTGGAAATACTCCAGTTTGAATATCATCTTAGTTCCTGCTCATTCCTGTGTCCTCCAGACTCAAGATAAGTCTCTTGTCATATTCTGAGTCTTAGGATTGCATCCTAGACTACATTTCCGACTCTACCATAAAGGTAGTCCATCCTCTGTTAGTTTCTGGTCCGGACTTCATCTGGATTAGTCTTATCCGCTTGCCCAGGTAACATCCAGATGTCTGTCAGATTTATCTCATGTTTCAGATCCAGATGTCCATTATCTGCCCCAGTCAAAACCCGGAAACTCTGGATGACTGTTCTAGCCCCCAGAAATTAAGGGCTCATACTCAGGAAAGGGGCACAGTGTACGAGCTGAGGCCAAGCCCTTGTGATCCAACCCCCTTGAGCACACGACCTTAACAGAAACACATAGCTGTAACTTGACCATAGCTATGCTAATATCAAAGCTGCTCCTCCCGCCCCAGCCTAATTTGGACTTGGGGTTAGGGTTACGATTTTTTGTGTCAATTTGGTGCCTGCACAAAAGTAGTGGTGACTAAGTGACATGCACCATACATCAGCCCACCTGTATATATAATACATATTTCCCCGCCCCATCAGCCCACCTGTCTATCTAATATACCCTACATCAGCCCACCTGTCTATATAATAATATCTACCATACATCTCTCTTCAGCCCAGCTGTCTATAATATATGTCTATCCTACTATACATATTGCCCAGATAGGCCCACCCATCTCCATCAGTAATAATATTTTGTCTGGCCCATCCATCATCATCAAGGATATTTATAACATTAGCATAGATGGGCCTACCCATCCCCATCAGAAATAATATCCCTCCCAGCCCACCCGTCAACATCGAGAATATACAGTGGCTCAAAAAACTGTCCGCATGTTTTGACATTTTTCACTATCTATGATATTGTGTGAGAACGAACAAATGCCTCAAGGACATGGTTATACCACATTGTAGTATGGCTTCAGGGCTTTCATTTGAGCCCTACACCGTGGGAATCGGTGGAGATATGGTGGAGACATAAGGCTTACAAAATCATGACTCATGCGGACAGTTTTTTGAGCACATATTAAAACTATATAAATCATCATTTATGACACCATAACAATCATGCCACCATTAAATAAATTATAAAGTGGTGTCATTATGTCATTTTAAAACCATATCTAACTATACAAACCAAAAATTTCCATATGTCATGGTTATATTCACCATGAAAGCCAGCCCCCCTGCTCAAAGGGATAATATCCTCTCTCTTTCCTATTCTGGCCTCTCTGCTTGTCAAATTTCCTCTAGAACTGGAGTATCCAAGTCCACTGTGGCCAAGTTCATCAAAGAAAGTCACACAGACAAGGAAAACTTCTGTGAAGGGCATCCATCCAAGCTCACCTCTACTGATAGGAGGGCTATCATTCAACATATCACTACAGGAAAGGCTGATAATGCTGTCCAGGTCACCTATTACATCAATTCCACCATCACATTCCCTGTCTCTTCACACACTGTGAGAAACATTCTCAAGACAGCTCATCTCAGGTCAGTAACAAGGAAGAAAAGGCTCTCCTCTCTATCACACATATGCAGAGATGACTAACCTTTGCCTTAGCCCATCAGAATTGGATTACATGGACTGGAAGCATGTTATATGATCATATAAGACCACAATAAATAGGATTGGGTCAGATGGCAAGGTATATATGTGAAAAAAGAAGGGTGCTAGTCCTCTCTGCATATGTGTGATAGAGAGGAGAGCCTTTTCTTCCTTGTTACTGACCTGAGATGAGCTGTCTTGAGAATGTTTCTCACAGTGTGTGAAGAGACAGGGAATGTGATGGTGGAATTGATGTAATAGGTGACCTGGACAGCATTATCAGCCTTTCCTGTAGTGATATGTTGAATGATAGCCCTCCTATCAGTAGAGGTGAGCTTGGATGGATGCCCTTCACAGAAGTTTTCCTTGTCTGTGTGACTTTCTTTGATGAACTTGGCCACAGTGGACTTGGATACTCCAGTTCTAGAGGAAATTTGACAAGCAGAGAGGCCAGCATAAGACAGAGAGAGGATATTATCCCTTTGAGCAGAGGAGATGGCTTTCATGGTGAATATAACCATGACATATGGAAATTTTTGGTTTGTATAGTTAGATATGGTTTTAAAATGACATAATGACACCACTTTATAATTTATTTAATGGTGGCATGATTGTTACGGTGTCATAAATGATGATTTATATAGTTTTAATATGTGCTCAAAAAACTGTCTGCATGAGTCATGATTTTGTAAGCCTTATGTCTCCACCATATCTCCACCGATTCCCACGGTGTAGGGCTCAAATGAAAGCCCTGAAGCCATACTACAATGTGGTATAACCATGTCCTTGAGGCATTTGTTCGTTCTCACACAATATCATAGATAGTGAAAAATATCAAAACATGCGGACAGTTTTTTGAGCCACTGTACATAACATTGGCCCATAGTCCACTGGCCCATCTTATATGGGATATTATGTAGGTCAGGTGACCCATATAATACAGAGTTTGTCACTGAAGGGGCTCAGTCTCTCTAGTCCTATGCTTGACTAGACAGAAAATAAAGAATAGGTGCATACTATGCACAAAATTAGGTAGCAAATAATGCTAGATATTCCCCTGCCTTGATATACTAAAGGACTTATCAAAGGGAACTAGGTAGAAGCTGATTGGATTTCCCTGCCTAAATGCAAAGGGTTTAATCCAAGGAAGATGATATGATACAAGAGTAGATATTCCAGCAAAGGAATCTGTAGGCACAGATGATAAGGCTTGACTTGGTACTTCTAGTCCTCTGAAACTATATGTCAGATGCACACTAGACAGCACAGGTACAGTCAAGAAAAGAATAAATGATCTCAGAGCAAGTAAACCAAATATACTTGGTCTGCACTTCCTGGCTAACACAAAGAGTGTCAATGTCAGAGAAAGTGGAAGAATTGGAGTGTTCTTTTAAACAGTAAAAGAAGTTCTTATTTTTATGGGTGGAGAAGAGCTCTCCTTAAATACATGAGATGGGAGAAACTGTATAGTACCAAGAAATAAGGTTGGAAAGAGAAGTGACATCAGAATTGCATCATAAATGACCTCATTGTGGAGCAAAGTGGAGCAAAAGTGGAGCCAAGTGGAGCAGAACATTCTAGCATCCAATGACATCATATCCTGCAGGTACATTTTGTGGAGTCTCTGGAAGGTCAAAGAATCAAGTAGGTAAAGAAATGAAAGAAAAATAAAGTAGAATAAATCATAAGACAGAACAAATCAAAACACTGGCTTTTTAGATAGGGTTTTGGTAGGCTTTTATCTTTTCTCCTTGGTTATTTCTAGTCAAAGTAAATAAGCCAAAAAATAGGCAATAACCTAAGCTTTTGTATGACTATCAACTTGGACTAGGTCAATATATGATTTCTTCATCATATTTAACTTTTCTTCAACACACCATGTTTTTGCATGATTGGAGCATGCAAAGTGAAATATTGCACTTGAGTCTGTACTCAAAGTACATTTTGTGTAGTCTGAGGACTAAGCTAACAGACTATGGAAATGTGGGATGATATGTCATATACATGTTCTGCATGATTCCCAAATCATGCAGGACAGCATACTCACTGGGGTCCAATGAGTTTAATGGTTTTTACATGTTACTCCCAGGTTTTGGCACAGTTGTCATTTTTTCTGATGGAGAAAAGTCCAGGGAGAAGATTTACCAAAACTGTCACCAGTTGTGATTTTCACTTGCAATGCATCATGCATGCCTGCCTAGAAGTCTCAGAGATTTTTTAAGTTATTCTAGTGAAAGTGATACAAGTCAAGGTGAGCTGCATCCAATCATCATAAACTGTTCTGTACCACCTAGCATTGACATGCTGAGCTTTGCTGAAAGCTGGTGCTGGACACCCTACATCAGGAAAAAGGTCAAGTACCATTTGCACCCACTAACACAATATATTGCTATGTAGTTCCAGTTGCACAACATAGCAACCATGTATGGTACATATCACTACATGGCACTATGTATCATCTGAGCTCATGATCATAGCAACATAGCTGACAATGAAAAAAAAAAAAGATCATGAGAGTCACTCAAATAATTCTAAGTCAATGTACTGGTTAAGATAAAACTGTTCTACCTCATCAACAATTCCCTCGCAAGAAAAACACAGAATCAGATGGCATGGCCAAAGGAGTATATCAGCAGGTAGAACTGCAGCATTTGGGCCATGCTGATGTAACAATCTAACAAGCTGGAAGGTCTGCAAATCATTATCAAATGTTTGCAGCGGCCAAAACCAATGAACATAAAGGAGGGGGTGCAGCAATTTGCCAAAACACAGAGGGTGAATATAACCTTGATCTCTCCCACATGAAGCCCTGAGTCCAGTCAGAAGACTTGTTAATATGAGACCACACTACTCACCTGATATACCCTTGCCTGTGTATAATCCTTGTTGTTCAATGAATAGTGTGCTGTCAAATCTTACAGGCACTGGTGACTTTCTTGCATCCTTGGATGCCACAACTGGCAATGTATGGATTTTGAAGAAACATTTTGAATTGCTGATGTGCAGGCAAGCAGGTGAGAGGACTGCCAGATATTTGTAGATGTTAATGCACTCCTGTGGAATTAACTTGCTATGTGACCAGATTGAAGATGGGATGTGCTTGTGGATGAACATTTCAAGAGCTGTGATAAATAGTGAGGCACCATGGTGTTCAATCAAGTGTTGAATTGGTGTGTTGGGAAGGTGGCAAGTCTTGGGGAGATAGTAGCCATGTGTGGCTGTCACCATCATGAAGTGGTGTATCTGATGAGGCAAGTCATTAAACAGAGGCTCTTGGGTAGTGAGCTCATCAGGAGGGTCCAAATCTGATGTGGATAACACAACTTGGCTAGATAGTTGTTAAGATACCTAGCCAATATATGTCTACTAGTCCTGCCTAGCTGCTACACTTGTAAGCAAGAATGTTCAACCCAAGGGATCTGCTGTCTAGTCAAGTTCAATAACCAGTACTATGCAAAAGGGTTGAAAGTCCAAAGGTCAGGGATCAAGTCTGAAGGTAATGGGTGAAGTCCAATGTGCAGGAAATTGGGTCTGCAGGTGCAGAGATGTGGAGATGGCAGGAGAGTAAGGGAAAGGAAGGGAAAGTATTAGGACTAGCTTGGAGATGTCAAGGAAGGTCAAGTGATTGAGTGACACTTGTGTCGGGTCAAAGAGAGCAGGTAAACAGGTATATTGGCAAGGGTAACTCTAAGGACAGGTATGAGGTGACCAGTATTGGGGATTTCTCCCTCCTACTCAGTGGTGATTGTAATTCTGGTCGCCCAACCCTATATAACTAACTATGTGAAAGTCCAGAGTCCATAGGCAAAAGCAGTAGCAAAAACACAGGTCTGATAATATGTAGGTAAAAGGCCATGAGGTACTGTGGCCAGTGGGAATTCATGTAATAATGCTGTCTACTCAATCAGTAATGGGAAATAACTGACTATGCACCAGTGGGATTAAGCAGGACTGGACTGGACATGGTAGGGCAAGTGCGTGGGATCTCTGAGCAGGTCCAATGCATCGGAGATGCAGAGATGGCAGGAAAGCATTGGAGATGGGTAGGAGATGTGCATACTGAGTGGGGATTGCAGAATTGGGTCCTAGCAGCCCAGCCTGAACATGATTGTCACACCAAGTCACTGATGTCTGAACCATGTTCACTTAAATCTGGCACAGCCTCCTCAGCCTTGGCACATCAAGAAGCCCACCACTGCAAGTATGCATCTTGAATATGTAGAGATTCTTGCTGTTGAAGCCAGCTGGTCATTTGTATAACATAGTCATGTTGGTTGCTCGCACAGTAAGTATGTTTAGCAAAGTCGATGTGCAATTGTTCTGGAAGCTTGGTATTGAATCCATCTGCACTTCTGAACAGACAAATAGACTCAGTGTAGTGAACCATTGAATGGATCTTTGGAATGTTAAAGTGCTCCCACACTCCTAGCTTGACAAACACTTCCTTATTGATATGGAATAAGGTGAGTGTGGCTTGCATGTGAGTCAGTGTATGTTCCATGTGTGACTGAAACTGGGTGTAGTAAACAAAGTCCAACACAGCACACACTGCCACAATCACCCTGTTGTTAACTGCTCCTGCAATTACACTGAGGAACACATGCTGCAGTTCCCTAAAATTAGCTCTGGTCCATTGTTTTCATTTCAATATGCCCTTCTTGAAATGCCACAGGCCTGCATATGAAGTCATTGACTTGAAACATGCATCCAGTGCATCCTTTCCAATGATGTCCATGCACTAACTAACAATATGATCTTTAAAGACACCCTGTGCAACTGGTGTAGGATGTCAGGAGTCATGCATTGAAATATGTTGTTGTGTGGGAGGATGGCCCAGAAAGGTAAGTATATTGCTTGTAGTCCTTGCTTGCTCTTGAATATTTCATTGCTCAATTCACCCTTGGAGTGCAGCTGCAGGTATTTGATTGTTGATCTTGTTTGCATGGCACAGATGTTCTCATGTCTCCATACTTGTCACATCCAATGGTGCATTTTGGGCAGCAATTCTCCATGCAGCATGCTATGAGGCACTGCTCTGGAAAGTCAGCAATATATGTAGCCACAATTGGATGCATCTACTGTCATGCATGGTATGGAGTTCATACCATGACATATATAAGAAGAAGTATAGAAGATGATTAGGAGAGTGTATGTTACAGTTCCTCTTTTTCCTCTTCACCTCTTCACTTATTCACATTACTAATCATTCTTAGACATTCTATCATGTTCCATCATACAATTATACTTCTATTTTCTGATTCACTATTTACCTTCAATCTCTGATTCATTTATTAAAGCTCTGCTTTAATCCCTCTATATATACTCTATCTCTTACACTTGTATTCTTTAACTTGACCTATGCAGACCAGGGCCTGCAATATACTGCTTAACTTGCACGACTCATGAATAGGTTCATGCTTTAGACTCTTTGTTTTTGTCAAGATATTCTTGTAATGCCAAGCATAACAGTGTATGAGGATATATTTCTCACTCATGAGCTTAGTCATCTATTTTCCTTTATTTATTTACTTGTATTTATAGTTTCAGCCACTTGATTACATTAGTGAACCACTCAGATATGTTAGTAAGCATGTCATGTGACTGGTAATATTCTGATATGTAAGGATTCTTCCATGACTCATCATGTTTTGTCATGTTTTGTCATGCTTTGTAATATTTGCAGTGCTTTGTAATATTTTACTCATGTACTTTGGTAAGCAGCTGATTTAGTACACCAAAAGGCTTGGTTTGTAAGCATATTCTTACCAATCCAGTGATGAGTCATTGCTTAGTAAGGATGGTTTCTAAAATGTATATAAGGACTCCATTCTCACATAATCAATAGGTTTTTCCCTCTTCTTTCTTGTCTCAAACCATGAGATTCATAAGATTTGAAGTGCAGGAGTTTTCCCTCTTTCTGTCTCAATAGTGTGAGATTATGAAGAAAGTGAAGGCCTCAAGATTGCCTTTGAACACTATAGTATTTCTAGTCTAGATTAGTTGTATACTATCTCACAGGGATCACCTACACAACAGTCTATTGTATTTGATTCAGCAGAGGTCCATATTACCTACTAGGTTTAAGTTAACCTGACAAAATATATACTACCCCTTTACTATCAAGAAGTGATCTAGTAAAGAAGTAATTTATTACCCTTTGGCCACCCATGAACAACATCTTATCAACTGAGAAGTAGAAAATCTGTTGACCATGAACTTGAGGAGCTGGCACCTTAGTCTTATTGAAGTACAATTGTGATGGTCATTGTATTTCACCTCAACTTATATAAGACCCTCAAGTAAGAAGACACCACCTCCTTGATGATCAGGGCAAGTAATCTCAACTCCATCTTGTCCTGCACTGACCAGTGGCTCTAGTACTTGTGTCATGCAGTAGCGGAATAGGCAGTAATGTTCAGCTGACTGGATGTCCTGTGTGAAACACTCCAGTTTTGAGATAGGTAAGTAAGTGATTAGGATAGCAGCATGTTTCAATAGCTGATGTTGGATGTCTTTGGAGATGTTTCCAAGGGTCAAGTACATGGGCCACACTTCCTGATCCCCACTGAATTGTAATAGTGAAGTTTTATCTGAAGCAAGGATCACCAGCACAACAACAGCCCCTTCTGGCAACCTTTCCTGTGAGAATGTATTGAGTGCATCCATTTTGCCCCATAGTAGATACACAAGCTGACCTGCATCTCCTACCACCAATCACCAGTCCACATTTCATCAAATTGTCATGTCTTCCCTTCCTTGTCTGCAAAAACCCTCTTTGGTGTGTATGACACTATGTTTTTGAGTTCCAGATTGCCCATGAGCTCACAGATACAGTCCACAGGGTCCCATAACCACAGTTTGAGCTCTTCACTTTCATGTTGGCCACCATTTCTAACTACATTGCCCTCAACAGTTATTTTCTTTAACTTCCACTCAGTACCTTAGGGAAGCTGATGCAAGTGTCTCTCAGTTGTCACTGCAAGTCTAACTGCTCACAATGGGTAGTTTCAAGAACTCGTCAATTACTGTCTGACCAACCCTCGCAATCAGCCACTTCACCAGCCCCCATTCCTCTTCATCTGCAAAGGGTACCCATTGATCTAGGCCTAGTGCCTCTTGTTCCGCTCTAATGCTGTGGAACATACTCTTGGCCTCACCCAGTGTCTTAGCCACTTGCCCTGGGTATGACTAGACAAAGCACATCCAAACATGGTCTTCATCTTTGACTTCTTCAACACAAGGCTGCTGATTGTCAACATGAGCCTCCAGGTCATACCATGGTGCCTTAATGAGAGCTTCTGCAATGCCATCAAAACCACCCTCAAAACCAAAATCTATGTGTTCTGGTCATTTGGCCAGCAAGTGACCTCTTTGACTGTTGCTGTCATGCTCATGGAATGACTCCATGTGTTGCCTGCATTCTGGAGCATTGGCAATGTGAATGCTGACTGCATGTATAGTTTGGAAGTTGCCCTTAAGACAGAAGTTGCAGCAGTAGGTCATGACAGTCAATTACAGAGGTGCATACATTCCTGACAAATCCGAATCTAATTGTCAGATATTTTGGATGATTTTGCTCATGTCTCACAACAGTCAGATGGTCCATGCAGCCTTGCAATTTTTTTTGGCATCTGTGATTAATAGTGCATGACTCCACACAACCATGTTATCAATTCCAACCATGTCAGTCTTTGTTGATCCCAGCCATGTCAGTCTGTTGATTTGTTTTCTGTTGTTAGCTACTAGTTGGTTGATTTTCCCCTTGGTCTCACATAAAAGGTGAGTTCTCACATTTCTATTTGGCCAATTGTTTGATCATGTTACCTACAGCTCGAGAGCACTGCAAATGTCATCCTTAAATTTGTCTTCCTGGTCTGCTGACTTACACCATGCTAAGCTGAGGAACAGCAAGAGCATGATGGATAGCAACAAGGCATTCCACAGAAAACTGGCAAGTCATCATGCAAGACCTAGGAGAACAGATGTATGTTGTTTCTGCCCTCCTTTGTCATTTTTCTGGTACACTAACAATGATCATTGTCTATGTATAGTACCATACAGTGATGAGACTCAGGTATGTTGATGTCTCTCTACTATTCACTTGAGCATCAGCTCACACTAGCATGTAGTTTACAGTTGAAGATGTTGCCCTTTCAAGTATGCCAGCTCATCCACTCAATTTGAAGCCTCAGTTCATGAAGGTTTCACCATGGCCTACTCCCACTTCACAAAGACTACCTGGTGGCTGGAATGAAGACACTCTTACAAAGGTGATATCAAACTGGAATATAAAGCTTGGCATGAACTGATGAGGAATTATTCAAGGAATCTAATTTCATTAATACTGCCCACATGAGTCAGTCAGTCAGCAGTCACCATAGTGAGCATAGGCAGTCACAATCCAACACTGTGAGTCACTGAGTTATTGAACATCTTGTATCTACTTATTTTTGTGAAGATGTCAACAAGTTCTTACAAACTCACCACCACATGTCCAAAAGAACTAGTAATGCTGCAACAAGTATTGCACAGTAACAATAGCCACTTGGAAGAAGACAATGCCAGCAACCCAAGTGATAATGAGCAAGATATTTACAACAGTCAAGGGTTTGATCACAGTAGTGAGGATACTGGCTTCCTTGGACGTGCTGGTGATGAAGAGTCTGACTGTGAAGAAATTGAAAGAGGACAGTGGGCATCTCACTGACCAGGGTAGGTTTGAGAGTATCATCAGAGCTGTGACTGAATTGTCTTGTAGACTCTTGCAAATGGAGTCACATGTTGTCAAATGACAATTGTGATAGTGTCCATGATCATAAACACATCCATGAAGACCCACCATCTGATCAGTGCCTTCCATGCAGGGTTCACAAAAGCAAGGGTCATGTGGCTGCACAGGACTATGAGGAATTCGCACAGCAACTTATCAAGTTTGCAATCAGTGACTTCCATAGTCAGCTTGTGTCTAACTATGCTTATCCAGATCATGTCACTCAAGTTTCATGGGTGAAAGAGGCTTGGAAGGAGGGATGCAAACATTATAAGATTGAGATGGGTTTCAATAATGAGATTATAAAAATGGTACATTTCTCATAGCTCTTCAGGCATCCAGCTGATATCTTCTAAAGATCATGTTGTGCACTTCCCATCTGACTGGCAAGGTGAAAGCAAAATTGCAACCACTAGTCAAGAGTGTTTATGGTTTTGAGTCAAGCACCAGGGAGTTGGTGGGGTCCAGGAATCACCACCTTGTTCAAAAGCTCAAGCACAAGTTCAGTTTATGTTACCATGTAAGTACAACAGCTGGGGCTTGTGTGTTTTGCTTGACTTGTTTGATTGTTAAAGGACCTCAGAGATGAGAAAACGAATGTTCCTCATAGTGGTGTGTTTCGGACAAAGTTGACTCAGAAGGCTGTGAATGTGGTCTGGTACCACAACACAAAGGACAAGGGCATCATATTCAGACATTATTTTACTCCTTTTCCCATTCCTGCCATGGCTCTGTTATACACAGTGGTGAGTGATACATTTGAGCCAGTAGAGACATATGATGATGTGAAGTACAGGCTGAGTGTTGCATTGACAAGTGGGCCAATGGAGAGTGCATTGATATTACATTTTCAGAGGACAAGTACAAGGAAACATATGACAAGCACATTACAAATCTCAAGAAGTTTGCCACACTTACCAAGGAGCATGGCATCCTTGACACAATCCAGAAGGACATCAATAACAGTGGCCAGTAAGTCTTCATTGAGTGATACTTGTTGGTGATGTGATTTTCATTTGCATGTTGCAGGTTGCATGCCAAAGCAGAGCCACTCAAAGTTGGAGATGGTGAGTGCCTGTCTGATGATGAGATTAGGAATGCAATCCAGGAATTTCAGGAGGGTAGTACTGGTGGTGGGAATGTGAGTGAGGATGAGGATGAGAGTGATGTCCAGTCCAAAGAGGAGTTGATGCACTATAATGAATAATTAGTGGTTTGGCTAACATGATCATTTTTTGGATTACAATGACTGCTATTGAGCCTGTGACCTCGAACATGGTGAACTACAAGACACTCTATAGCTGTACTATAGCATTTCCCTATGAACTACAGCATGCAATATAGTGCAAATTAGCAGACCAGTGATGCTATATAGTGCTACATTGAGGGGGGGTTGCAACCTGACAATATGTGGTATGTAGGCTCCATAGTGCTATATAGCAGTTCATATTTTTGCTGATGTATGGATGCACATATAAACATCATACTTGCTTGTCATGTGCCTGCCTCAGAGCACTCATGGCAAATCTCTATATGCTGTTCCAAAATGGCTGCAGCAGACAGGGTGGTGAGTTTGGTGTTATTCTCTTTTGATTGTAGTTCATGATATATCATCATTCAACACCACCCATGTACCATGCTTCCAGATATTGTCACTTTCTGGGATGACTTGGAGATATCTTGGAGATGGGGGCAGTGACACATCTTGCATCCCTAAAACAGCTGAGGAAGCTAAAGATGCTCATGTCAGAAGGTTACATGTTACAGCCTGGAACCAGTGTCACTGTTCAGGGTAGTGTTGCCGCAGTCCAGTTCTGAACTTCAGTTCGGACCTGAATGCTCCTGGACCAGACTGCAGGTTTGGTCCTAGGTTCAACATAGCACAAGGACCGAACTGATTATTAGGTTCAGCGTTCAGCTGCTGCCTGAATACTGCGGACCCGTTCAAACCCGTTCAAACCCATCCGAACGTGTTCTCAGATTCTTTGCATGATCCACCAGTATCTGCTCTGATCTTCTGGCAACAGGCATGTCAATCGATCTCGGGACAATCAACAGCAGGTCTGACTTCGCAGCCAAAACACCCAACACATTTCCATTGGCAACATCTGACTTCCTTGGTAATCCACTCAATGTTCTGGTAAGCCCAATGTTAATCAAATGTTAATCTTTATGCAGACTATAATGTCTTTTATGTTCAGAACATATCTGCAGGTTTCTCATTCCGGTACCTCAAGCTTCAACATCAAGTGACTGCATGGCAACAGTATGTTCAAGGTGCGTCTTTTTTTGATCTCTTATCACAAGTTTTAGTATAAATGAGCTACTAACTACAGGTTCAATCTCCACCCTCCTTGCTGCACAAATGTCATGCGCACTTGGATCCTGCCATGGATGAAATTTAGCTACTCATTTACTGTTCATGTATTTCTTGTGATTTTTGCCAATTTATATATAGCGTTTGAGCATTCAAACGTGTTCTGAACTCAAACCAAACACTTGCGAATGCATTCACAAGGGTCCAGTCCAGCGTTCGCCCTCCTTGCCTGAATGTGACCAATGGTCCGGTTCAGCGTTCGCATTTAGAGGCCCAAGAACCGAACCGAACCAGACTTCAGCACCACTAGTTCAGGGTTGTATTTTTGGTGGACAGAATCAGTAAAACTGTTCCAAGGTCAGATTACTTCTCATTTTTTTAGCATTCTTACAATTTTTCATGAAGAATGCACAGCTAATATCAACACAGTTCTAAATGCAATTTATTTCGACCTCCTACTTTCCTCCATCAGTAAGTTCACACATTCCTTAATGTCCTCAATCAGCTTAACACACTTATCTCAAAACTTGTTTGCTCTCTCTCACATCATTCACCTAGCATATCTTATATTTTTTGAGTGTGAAACACAATAAAACATATATATTAATACACCTCAACATTTTTTTTCTGAATACATTCAAGTTGAAATTTCGGACAAGTAGATCCATTTTCAACAAGGCAGTTAAGTGCAAATAAGTCTGTTTAAGGGCAAAATAAGGAATGTGTGAATTTCCCGATGTCCCTTCCAGAGCATATCAAACCCAACGTTTTAGAATTATTGAATATTGGGGTGGCTCACCCCACTGCTCCCATTTGCAACTAGCTGCTTCCACCTTCCGAAGGCTACCAATCTTCGCAGGGCTCACCAATCTCAATCTCAGTTCAATGCATATTCCTATCACCAATGACGAAGTTATAGACCTCATTTTTGCTTAGTCGTAAATAGAACATCTTTACTTTGACACAAGTTGGGGCTTGGAAGTTGCCCACTTGTGGGTGACATTTCGCGGGTTTGGGGGTTTTCTCGAGCGCTGTCCAAATCTGCACTCCCTGTGGATCAACCTAGACACCACAGCTCCCAAAAATACACCTTTCTCCGTCCATCACCAATACACTGATATCATCAGGGAGGACGTCACTGACCTAAGTGTTGAGTATGCAAAATGCAATGATGTTGAGGCCACTGACAATCTGCTAGCTGTAAATCAAAACCACGGTTTTAGTGATATTGAGCGATATGATTATCATCGTGGAATTTAAGGGAGCAGGGCTAATAGATGAAGTACGCATAGTTGATGGGAACAACTCTGATGTAATGGGCGGCGGGACTTGTGGGATCATTGATAAGATGAATTCAAGGGACTCTGATACTTTGATGTGAATGTTGACAGGAGTAACGACTCTGACGACAGGGACAACGTTGACACAGGAAGACATTGACAAAAGGGACGACACTGATAACGGCGACGAGAGAGATGATGTTGGTAGCAGTGAATACTATGACAAGAGGGACAGTATTGAAAATTCTGTTGGGAGGAGCAATGTCATTCCTCTGCAAAAAAAATCCGGTAGGGTTCGGGAGAACCACGTCAGCGGGACCGACCATTTTTGTATCAATGGGTGATATCGAACAACTTTTGTACCCCAGCTGTAACCTCGACAACGACCAAACATTTCGACAGTGCCAAAGTGATTGTGGGCTGTAGGGAACATGAGCACTAATGGTACTGGTTAATCGTGATCTTGACATGGTCGGAAACATCAAGTCTCTAAATCAAGTGCTTTAATACCATTATAAAGCAACGTAGTTCAACAACAATAAGTAATGATGAATGAAAGTTCAAGGCTTACTAGTCATTCATCTGGCTAGGGTTGTAGTATGCCGTGAGGGCTGCCATGACTCATGTGTTTGAATGATATCATTTACCACCTGAAGCATCTTGACACAGTACTCCCGGACTGTCGGATACTTCGCGGATGTCTGCGAGAAGTACTTATTCCTCGATCCCGTGCAATCTCTTTTCCACATGAAAAATGAGGCCGGAAATTTCGTTGTGCTTCCGAATACCTGGGCCGGTGAGCGGATGTAAGAAAGACCACCAATGTGAGAAGCTTTCGAGACTGTATTAGACTATCCTTACTGCGCGCAGTGGTCCCTAGATCTACACTGGCACGGATGAGGTCCTTTCATCATAGAACAGGTCTGTTTCCGAGAGAAGAAGGTTTGTGACGTGCGGCATCTGAGGCCATTCTTCAGTAATCAACTTACCTCACATCGACTTAAATAAGCATAAGCCTCTGGTCCAGTTGCTCGAGGTGATAGAATCAGAACGTGCACACTCTTTCCAGAGACAAACACGAGTCCTATCGGCATACTCTGATTTTGACAGTACTTTCAAGTAGCCTTATGTAGTGTGGAAAACTTTCAGCTATCATGGGACAAACCACAGATACAAATACAAATGATCGCGAACACCAATCGAACATGGTGCTACTGGTAGTATACTACGTAGCAGAACGCTGGTAAAGCGTACGTAGGAATTTATAGGTATATACGACTAAGTATAACGTATGGTAGCAGCAACATTATTGACATAACGCACAAGAAATTACTGTCTCCTTCCTTAGCGTCTCTAAGACCTTCTGGGCGCAGCGACGGGTTGTGGTACCGGTGGGAGTTGGGGGGGCATGTGCATAGCATGTCTGCCCCTCTCGGCTCCAGCAATCAAACGAATTTGCTCCGTCAGTGCCGCGTGGCGCCTGGCCTGAACGCGTTCCACCTCCCTGATTTCTGCCTGACGCCTTAACTCAACCTGGGCGAGTTGTGCCTGCACCATTCGCTCATGCAGCTGTGCTTGAGCCTGGGCACGTTGAGCGAGTACCATTCGTTGGTGGGCCTGGGCCTCTAATATCCGTTGCTGAGCATGCTGGGCGTGGACATGTAACATATTCATATTTCCTGCGTAGCCTGCATGGGGTAAGCCATAAGCTGGTATTCCATACGCATTCGCTACTAGACCATGTGCATCTGGTGCTAGACCATGTGCATTCGGTAAGGCCGGCAAGCCCCACGCGGCGTTCATGGGCACAGGTGGATGCATATTGGGCACTGGCTGAGCCGGACCGGCAATTGGTAAATCTATCTTGATGTTGCTCTCATCAACATCCGGGCGATCGCGTTTGAGATCTTCCATCGCCTTCTTAGCTGCTTCTTGAACCTGGATAGATAAGGCGCCGTTAACAAATTGATCCATGATAATCAGCCGAACCTGATACCTCAGTCGCATGCCGCTGTTCGACCGGATCCCACAGCAGGCATTTGTTCGTATCAACTCGTTCGTTGTGAGCAGATGGCTAATGAATTGAGATCGTTGAAATTCATGGACGAGGACGTTGCAGTGGCGTCACTTACATTTCCAAAATGTTCGTATCCATTAATGACCTTCCGGCATATATAGCATGAGACAGTTCGACAATTTGGACAAGTCATCTTGTTACACTGAGGTGCTCGGTGAGCATGTGGTCTCCTCACAAAAGAAAAAAAAAGCTTTACACCGTGTTCTTTTATAAATGCTGTATACATCTGTGATTAGAGCTGCTGATTGGAATAGTTCATGAGGACGAACCTTTCTGGCACTTCGGACAGTTTCGCATCAGTGCACGAGCTGGAAAATATTGTTAAAATAAACCGTTGGTGATTATCGAGTGAACATACTCATCGCTTCCTCAACGATGTGCTGCGCGTCAAGGTGTTTGTCCGATTCTACTTCTGGAGAGGATTGTGAGCGCAGCAGTTAATGGGTACAAACTCGAGGTTACCCTTGCAGCTCTTCGGTAAATGGTCCTAATGAAACGATAAGAAAAGGACCCTCCAGACAAGCTTGGGTACGTACAAGCTTTTTACACTCTCGACAGCTCACCGCACCGCAGTCCACGTTCTCACACCGAAAGAGTTTCTCCATCTCGTTCTCGATCACGCACTTATAATCGCAGAAAGGACATTCCTCCAGGTTCTCAAGGCCGGCGTCCTCAATGTCCTTGCGCTGCCTCACGCGATGATACAGTTCAAGTAGCTTCGGTGTAAGGAAACGTTCCAGCTCGGACTGTGGAAAGAGGAGTTTGCATCCGGACTGATCCATGCAAACGATATTGGGATTGTGCTCGCCCAAAAGGTTGGATGCGTAGGAAGACATGCAACTTTTGCAGAACAGATGCGCTTCCGGACACTGCACCATCTTGTCCTACTCACGAAATTAGATGATGTTTGAGGTGAACGAGGAAAGCAACAAACAAATGGGTACAAGGAGAAACAGCAACCACATTCGATACCGTCTTCACATTCTTCACATGCATCGTCATCGTTCGTTCGATCAGGAAGCGGCTGTGCATCAGCCAACACAGATGCATCCTGTCGCTGCAAAAGCCATTGTCGCTCTGCCTCGAATTCGGGATCGTGCTTCTCTCTCCCTTTCCCGCTAACTCTTGAGGGAACGGATTTCGGAACGTAAGGTGGGGTGTCCCGCTTCTCAGCCAAAAACAAGTGAACTGGAGCATAAAACCGACGTTTTAGTAGCTGCGTTCGGAGATACGGCTTCGGTGCGTATGGAAAGTCGACCATGAGTTGTTCCTATTAAGGCATCAGAGCAATCGATCATACAAAGAGGAAAATTACATACCAAAGCCAGTTCGAAATAATGCACGCCCCCCTTAAACTCTCTGTCCGTCGTGCCATAATCAATTTTAGGAGCAGGTTGTCCACGAGTAACACCTTCCTCATCATCTTCGGTCCTTTTCCGTTTCCCCTTCCTATCGACTTTAGGATAACTTGGGTTCTCCAGGAGAGAATGGAGAACAAGCTCTAGGACGTTCTGTCCGGCATTGGCTGGACTATGGATAAAATGCTCCGCCAGTTCGAGAGCATGTGCAGGTTCTACATCTGGAACAATTTCAAGGATGCGAGCAACACATGCGTCAGTTGGATCCTGGACCTCCGCTGGTGGTTCAGAAGGTTGAGGGGGTTGAGGGAGTGGCACGAGTGGAAGCACCGGTTCTGGAGTGATATGTAGCTGCTGCTTCAACATCGGCATCTGTTGTAGGCCTGGATCCTCATCGTCCGAATAAAATAGCGGAGTGGATGTTTTGCGAAGAGGTTTCTGAGATGATGATCCGGCAGCTGGCAGGGCTGCACCCACAAGCAAGTCATCAAGAGGCGCTCCGATAACTGGCAAGTTCGAAGGACCTGGCACTGCTGCATGTGCTGCTACTGGGCGCCTTTTTTCCGGGGACACCAGTTTATGCTCAGGCTCACTGTCAGAGTCCGTTATTTCGATGATTTCTTCTGGCCACCGGCTCGGTGCTGGCGGCGGCCTTCTCTTGTGCGGCCCAGGCTGCTGACTTTGATTACGAGTTACTCTGGATACAGTAGGAAGTAGTTCAGGGGAAGAAGGGATGTCAATGACCTCCATGGCGGTTGGACTTGGACGAGCCAAGAGATGCCAGAAGTCACAATTGGCAAGTCAGTCGGATTTTGCATTTATGCTTAAGTGTAAAAATAGCCACAGTCGCGCCTTCGTAAAAGGCAATTAATTGCCACATGTGTACCAAGTGTGGCTGCTGACTGAACCACACCCGTACCTGCTACCACCAGTACTAGTACTGTCATGATGATCAAGGCGTGATATTTTATCATACTAGGTAGTACTCTAGTATGCCCTTTTGAAATACAGGCACGTTCATCCAAAGCTGGTGGGTTTGACTTGACTGCCACACAACATTACTAATAGCGTCAAAGCATTGCAGGGTCATGAACAATGCGACATGTGTGGCCCTGACAGTCAAAGAGTCCCAGTAGTGTCCCCTAGGCAAGTGGTCAGCCGGCGCAAGCCTTCACCTAACCATTTCAGTCCGATATGCACTCGCTCGCACCACCTCGTGTTGTTGCGAGGAAAGCTCCCGTAACAAGAACTTCGCCGCATCCTGGTTTCTCTCCTCTTCCCAGGGCCATGCACCCCATGCTCAGAGGTCATGAACGTCCACGAAATACGAGGTAAACATGCATATTACAGTTTTCCAAAATTCAATATCCTTTCGTTCAATAGTTGCTTTGTAGCGTAATGCAAATGCTGCATCAGCGGGAGAAGGTTTTTGTACAACCACCACCACCTCGCCAGCAAGACCGCACTTCTCTCAAGCTAGTGTCTCTGACAGCCTCTACTATCGGTATCATCCAATGTTATGGGAGGAAAAAATCCCATTAACACATGCAAATACTAGCTCTACTGCCGCGACTAGCTGAACATATTACAGAGACTAGTTGCTTGACGATCCTAGCCAGATTCTTCTCGCTCCCGCTAGGTTTCCTCTCCGCCAGTTGACCTCGAATCATTTCCTTTACTGCGTATCAGAAGTACGGAGTTTTTCAACGCCGCACCCAACATGCAGGCTCTGTAGAATAAACCTCACGGCAGCAACCGCCTCCACTGATCAACCGACTTCGAGGATTACACTCGCTCTCACGCCTTTGTTCCTTCGTCTGCTAGAGACTCAAAGCTCAAAACTATTATTTAGACATGTTCCGTACCAGTATCACCCACAGGTGCAAACCCACTTAAGGACACATCGAAACAAATAATGACATAATGAATGAGCTGCATGACGCTGTGATCATATCGACAATAACCTGTCTTATTCGCAGTGGTATCAAGCTTTCATTGGGGGAGATCTATTCCTTAAGTGGCACATTTAGCAGGCGATCAGGTAGACACATTGCTTGCATGACGGCAGTCCTGTGCCAATTCTCGCTTTGCTCCTACGTGCCGTATCATAGTCAACATGTCGGCTTTGATAAGAACACCGAGGGAGCATATCGGCATCACCTGATACATTCGAACGTGCACAGATCAATCAGTGCCATAATGTCCACGGATGCCCGAGTCAGTTGCATGAAAATGGCTCGTAGAATACAGCAATTTTAATTTAGAACGGTGATGATATCGGCGATGAGTCCCAACCTTGGCTCACACGACTCAGGAGGTAACAACAGGACGATACTGCTCAAACGGATGCGCATACAACCCCATCATCTGCGTCCTATGCTCTACGGCGGCATCCCAGATCTTAGCAAGTTTTGGGTCTCGACTGCACCACTGCTGCTGGTCCAGGAACACTGGTCGGAAACGTTTGCGCACAGGAGGCTCAGCATGCTCCGATCGTTGTTCGTCGACTTCCATTGCGGCTAACTCTTCAGCTGGTCTAGAAGGGTAGCTTCGCGTGTGCCGCGGCGTGGAAGGACCAGGAAATGGGGAATGCGAGCCACTAGATGTAGCAATGGAGAACGCCGACTTTTGCTGTTCGTGGCATGAGGCAGAATCTCCTCTGATAGCTTGCTCAAATGCAGTTATGGAAGGTGTTGTCCTTTGTGGCGCCATTGTGCGTTTTCTGGGCGAAACGCTTGCGCCAGGTTTGGAAGGTGACCCAACTCGACGTCTTTTAGTCGGGGTCTCAGGCAATAGAGTATCATCGAGATCATCAATGGTGCTGTGGGAAAAGGCGACCACAGCACGTTTTAGTGTGAGGGGCTTTGCTGGCGTGATATCCTGTGATTTGGCTTTCATGGCGGACTTGGATGGAGACTTCTGTGGCGAGGTAGAAGGGCGAGTCCGGGGTTTCGAAGGCGTCCCTGAAGAGTTCATTTCTTGTAGCTGAGATTTGATGCGGCCGGCAACTGCATCACAATCCTTATCGAGGGCCTTTATGACAGATTTGAACGCAGGAAGAGGAACGCCATGGTTTTGACAAAGTGATTTTTCTTGCACCCCCTGAACCTACAAAAACGACGTGAGCAAGGAAATTTTAAAAGGGTATATTATGCAGACCTCCATGATCTGACATATCCAGTGAAATATAGCACAAGTCACCGTACTAGCTTGATGACGCGTACGAAGCATGTCAACTTTGGGGATACTGCTTTCTGCTTCACGCATCCATTCCAAGGCCTCTTCGGCTGGCATTACACGATACGTGCCAATGAGTGACCTGTAATTAAGACCCCTCGTATGCTGTCTCCCCATAGGGCCAAGTGCTTTCCGCACAACATTCAGAGCCTTCGTAAAATCATTTTGACTGATGCAAGCGCTTGCGACAGCGGCTTTTTGTGACACTTCGTTATTATTCAGTCTATGAACGATCATTAAATGCTAAACGATGATGGTCGGAAAACGGCGCACTCTTCTGACGCGAGGTACGCGCAGATGCCTGGAAGTGCATTTGGATGAGCGACGAGATACCCAGAGCCAGGCACAGTTTTGGCTTTCGCAAGTCGTAGAATCGCCTGTGCTTTCTCGTATGTTTCTCCTGAGCATAGTTTTATGAGGCTCTGTCTTTCAAATGCTGCTGCCATCGCGAAGGTAGATTCGAAAGAACAAGACGCGAGCGTGACAGCTGACGCGTGACATCTATTGGTATGTAACAGTTCAGAATTATTAATATTCTAGGGGTCATGAGTCCTAAAGGCGGTGCAGAACAATTTTGTTTGGTTGGTTGACCCAACCATAGCCCCATGCCAATACGGCCACATCGCTCTAGAAGAGTAGTTGCCATACCCAAAGCGCTGTAGGCCAGTCGGGCTACATAAAAGGCCCCCTTATTCTTTATCTTTCCCCGCACTCCATCTTCTTCCTTCCATACAAATGCGCATCCCACTTATCACGAGTCCTCGATACCAAGACGTTGGTCGCCGGAAAGGCGGCGGCGGCGGCGGAAAAGGCGGCGGGAAAGGCGGCAGCAGTAGCAGCAGTGGGAAAGGTGGTGATGCTGAGGGTGGCAGCTCAGGGAGTGGGGGTAAAGTCTAACAGACATTGTAGTGATATCAAATCTGATTAGACTTTTCAGGTAAGACCTCAAAGGTACCCATCACGGGTAGCTCCGCCAGCGGCAAGAGCACAGCAACGGCGTACGGATATGGAGGTGGGAAACCCCAAACGATTCCCGCTGGACAGTTTTTTGCTGGGCGCACTGCTGGAGGGGCTACAAGAGCACAGATATACGGTACAAGGTTTGTCAACAGATAATTTTATCGTGAATGAAAGTAACTCAGATGTCATCCAGAACGTATGGCAGTGGATATCCTGGATACTCTGGCTATGGTGTCGCAGGTCGAGGATTTCCGTTTTGGTTCTGGCTGGTTGTTTGGGGAGGATCTTCAAATCAATACCTCGATGATTCTGAAGTAACATTTTTGCCTGCTCACACCAGAAGTTAACTGACATCCCCCTTCTACAGTACGGCAATTCTTTCAATACCAGTAGGCTCGGTGGATCGATGGCACAGGCCAACTTCATTTCGAATACGACGGGTTCTACCTTCCATATACTATCTGACAACAGTACCATTGGCTCTTTGATCAATTCTATCAACACCAATTGCTCGTCGAATTTGTCATCCTCGAGTTCAAAATCTCCATCACCGTATAATTCATCCGCTCCAGGAGGTCCTCAGCCGGAACAAGCCATCCAGTACTACCGCTCTTCCAGCATCGTGCTAACTTTGGATGACTACAATAACTCCGCTACGTTCAATCCGAATACCACGGACTCGCCGTTACCTTCTGGGGTTGACATGACTCTTTTAAATTGCTTGAACTACACCATTGGGCAGGCTGCACCGTTAATCGATAGTGCCAGCTCGCGGTACATTTCGCCACCATGCCTTGGCTTTGCTACCCTCGTTTGGTTCCTGTGGTATCTGGCGCACTGGGTCTAATTCCTCAATGTCATCATGTTTCATCCCCTCGATTTTTTCGGATTCCCTGATTCTTCGGCATCATGTTCAGTTCGGGATCGCCCCGTTTCAGATGATCCTGTTTGTTCCACATTGTTTATTGATAAATTATCTCTTATCTTTATGTGGTATTCAATCATGATGCATACGTGCATTTCTAGTGTATTATCGTAGCCTACCTTTCTAGATGTATTGATTGTTTTTTCAGAGACATGGAGGCTAAACTTTGCGCACTCCGTATGAAATAAAAGTAAACTTGCCGAGTCGCTGACAGGGAGAGAATTCTCCTTCTCGTCCGAATGCAGAACAAAGATTCATGACGGAACGAAACTTGGGCAATTGTCCGTGGGAGGGAGTTGCGCGGTTGTGTTAGTTCATGTGGCCGATGAGAAACTTCGGCAAGGGTGCGGCCTCGAGGCACGCCAGAACGGCGACGGATGCGCCAAAGTTCTGAAGCGAGCAAGAGCCGCATCATATGCCTTGGCAAAGTTTCAGCAATTACGTGATGGGCTGAGCAGTGGGGCAGACACGTTTCGAGTCACGTATTCCCTCTTCCTAAATATTGCAAGCAGCGAGGTCGCCACGGTCCATCTCTGACTGAATTTATGATTTTTCTGAAAGGCACCATTCGAGGGTTGGGGACGGAAGCAAACGAACTACAGAAACCCGAAAAGGAAGTGACAAGCTACCAACCGTTTTTGATACAAGGGAATAGATAAATCAAGAGTTTGCTTCTACGATGAGGACCTTGAACACTCGAAGAAACACATCTTATTATTCACAAGGGCGCTGACAGCAGCTCTCTCAGCGCATAAAATCACTATTTCGTGATTATCATCCGCCAATAATTTAAAATAACAAGAGGCGGTGTTATAGGTCCTGTGTATAAAATTAAATCTTCGCACCCACACTCTGGACCTCGCTTGTGAAAAACCAATCTTCGGGTGGAGTCCCTGCCTGAAAAGCTATAAGGAACGCCCAACACAATAGCGCTTTTTGTTCCCCCCCCTCCGATTCTCTTTTGTATCCTGCTTTAGGGTGCTTCCCAACTACTACCGTGCTACTGTATCCATATCACCATAGACATGCCAGCCGTCCGTCTTTCACACCGTCGACGCTCATCCTTGGCCATTAGTATGTTTCTTGATCACTTTTCATTTGGTTTCGTGCTCATAATGACGATGAAATAGCGGCTCTCCACCCTATCAAAGCAGGCATCTACGGAATCAACACGACACCTTCGCCACGATCAGTTACATTTGCGCCTAATGTCACACCAGTCACGTTTACCGAGACCGACGAGTCCTTGTCATCATCGACGCCAGAACCTTCGTCGCCCACCACACAGCTCTTCCCTCCTTCAGAGCTACCCCCAACGACGACCAGGAGACGTGTACCTGCTGGTAAGCGCCGGTCGCTAGGTTACATCCCACGTCCCCCGAACGCGTTTATGTTGTTCCGTGCCGACTTCGTCCGTCAGAAGCACGTTCCAGGGTCCATCGAGACTAACCATGGTTCACTATCCAAGATCATTGGTAGGTCCCGATTATCCAGATAGTATCACGTGATTCTTATGTTTTACCTAGGCAATTGCTGGAGAGCGCTTCCTCTTGAGGAAAAGCGTGTTTGGGAGATCAAGGCTAAGCACGCCAAAGCTGAGCACAAGGCACGGTACCCTGAGTACCGTTTCCGCCCAGTCCACAACAAGAATAAGGAGAAGAAAAAAGAGAAGGTCACTCCTACAGCTGAAGATGAACGCCGTTGTGAAGAGGTTGCTCAACTTCTTCTTGACGGAATGAAGGGCGACCAGCTCGCTGCTGCTATCCGCAAGCTCGACGAAAACAAGGTACATACCCCCGCGCCTGCCTATCTCCTAAGGCGACCCTCGTCTGTGCCCCTTCCGGATTCGCGGTTCGGTGCTGCAGGCATCACCATCCCAACGCTACCGTTCTTCGCAGGCTCGCGCCCTGGGTCTCCTGTCGGAAAAATATCTCACTCTGCTCGCTACATCTTGGGTCAGCGCAGAGCTTCAAGTGCTCAGCCAACTATCCCCCGTCACTGGGGCATCGCTCCACCTGCCTCTTGGCAGCGCGATGAGTCTCCTCTTCCAGAGGTAGATACGAGCTTGTTCGAGCCATCGTTCTTCAACTCGAACTTTTCTAGCCAACCCACGCAGCCAGATTCTGCATTCGTGCGTATTACCGTTTGTATTTTCTTCTAGGTCGATGTTGACACAACGATTTAGAGCTTCAATGAGATGATCTCCACCTTCCCTCCTCATCCTTCTCAGGACTTTGGCATTGCTCCCTTGGACCCACTTCACGATCTGTCAATAGATATCAATGCCATGAACTTCGACCCGAATGACCCCTCAGCTTGGATGCCGACTGAGTACAACAACTCCCAGTCTTCATCCCCGTACACTTGCTCCCCTGCACGCTCCGACATGTCTCTACCCGTTGTCGCACCCCAGCCGCAGCATGCAGCCGCCCCATTCGATCACTGGCCAGACATGTCGCAGCAATACAATGTTACTGCCAAGGGGTTGGACTCCTTGCAGGGGTCCGGTGAGCAGCAGATCATAGAGCCGCAATTCTCCGGCTACTCAACTGGTATTGAGGGCTTGTTCCCGCAGTTCGGCGTTATTGATACCCACGGACCCTCCATCATGGGTTTCGACTATAACTCATACTGATCGTCTCAGCTCAGCGCACATCTTCATCCCCGTCTCCGCTCACACGATCTATCACTATTTGTATAGCTATTTCTTTTATTGGCTCTGGAGTTTCTGTCTCTCTTTTTCTCCCTGTTTTTATAACCTTGCTTGCACGGTATCGTTGACTTGTAGCTTTATCACTTGCTGTGTCAGATTGGATTGCGCATCTATCCTTGTAGCCATATCGTTTCTATCGTCTTGTATGCTTGTGAACGAGCAATATTATTATACCCGCCTCAACCTCGTTCTCGCGAAGAAAAATCAACTTGAACTGGACTGAGCGGACCAATATGATGTCTGATATCAGCCTTCCTGTGCGGTAAGGTCGGTACCCTCCACGTGAAACCAGTGATACTTCAGAGGATGACAACTAGCTTCGTGGTGAGGAAGGCTGTGCGGCGCTCAACGTTTCGGCGGAGACTTTGAACACAGGTCTCTGATAGGTGGCATGTGATCATCTTGCAGAGATGCGGCGGCCGCATCATTTACCAGACGCAGCCTGGCCAAGGCAATGCAAACACGATTAAATATCTGTACAGCACATACATGTACATTGTCAGTGAATTCCTGGTAGTTAATTTTTACGGGGGGAAGGGTCGGATAGGCGTATAAGTAGACATACAAATCAGTGATTTACTCCAGGGGGGAGGGGTGCCACTAAGTAGTCCGACCTCAAGGATAATACTACTACATCGTTCACGATTCTGATTACCAATGCATTGTCTGTGGTAGTGTCTATGAGAGGGAAGGATGAGAGCTAGGAAGGACATCGTGATCATCATGATATACATCTTTGCTTTTCAAAGATTCCATCGGACGAGGGTAAGCCAGCAGTTCTTCACTTAGCTCTCGGGAATTTAAAAATCATTTGCAACCGTGTGTTCAACCTGGTCGTCTCCACTATCATGGCGATAACGATCTGAGGCGTGGGCGTGAGATGAATACAGCTTTTCTAGCTCGTAGAACCGTTGGCGCCCATCAGTATTGTCGGACAACTCAAATGATATAGGATCGACACGGGACGGGCGGATGGGGATCTATCCCTAGAATCCTCCACGAGACATGGATCGGAATATTCAAGTTGACGGGCCTCTGCCGCTCGGACGACTCCGAGTCGGAACAGTGAGGTTGTCGGTGCTCCGGAGCTCGAGCCACACTAGTACTCGTGGTTTAATCCGCGGTGGCTCTGCAGTTAATAGAAGGTCGAAAAGGGTTACAACTATTTTTTTCTGCGACGCGACCGCACCACAATCAAAGAGATCTAGAAGCGTAACTTTTATGACAGTCCCTCCGATGATGGCGGCCATGGTTGGGGGTGCACAGTTCGGTTCTTTGTCAACGATTGAGAATGGTTAAAGCAATGGATCCGGAACCACGTCAGTACTGATTAATGTGACCGTGAAAAGGTACTTATTAAGATTGCGTTGAGAGGCGATGCCCATCCATGCTGGGATTATGTGGTCGATGTAACACACGAAGATCACCTTTTCGTGCTACATCGTTGAGCTCAAACGATTATCGTACCCTGAGAGACGACCAAACGTTTCAGCACTTTCGGCAGTGCCAAAGTGATCGTGGGTCGGTCATGAGACTGCTCCGATGGTGTTTAATGTGTAGTGACGACGAGCGCTACTAATGTGAGGAAGTTCTTTAATTCGGCGGTATCGGAAAGTCTGGTTCGGCTCCGTGAGTGAAGGGGAGACTTACTAGTCAATACTCATCTGGCCAAGAACGTTGTAGGAAGTGTTTCAGTTAGAAATCGTGAACGATGGGGCTAGCATTCATGTAGCTTGATGGAATATTACCAATGCAATGCCTTTGAGTCACCGTATAACGAATGAGTGCAGCTCACTGGCAAATCAGCGACCATCACCATCGGCACAATATTGCGAGCTACTATGAACACACACATATATATCATTGAAAGACCAGCCACTTTCCGAAAATTTTGAACTCACCGTACGTGACCGAGTCCTTCAAGTTGAAGAAAATATCCTCTTGTACTATATAAAAGTGCCTAGTACTTAACCTCCCCTAGTCGGACCTTTAGAAGGAAGACAGTCGTTCGATCTGAGCTCCTACGTTCATCCTACGAAGTGCCACTGAATCGTTGGGCTTTCACAGGTTTTCACAGAATTTGGCTATGATAACGACAACCCCCTTTGTACATACTTACATAATACAAGTCAAGACCAACTCCGATCTCAACTGTTGATTTATATGATCAAGTACTAGGCTGATCTACACATGTGGTGAAAGCCAGCTGGAATATGGCTATTCTGGGAAGGCTAAATATTCTATGTAAGTCTAGACTTTCACGACAAACTCTAAGGTCAATATAGGGCGGCAGCTGGTTTGAGCGGTGTTTTTTTTTAGAACGGAACTCAGACGCTACATATGTCTACGATCACAAACATAAAGCGCTCATTATCATCGTGCCCGTTGTGAATATTTGAATGCCTGGCAACAATGATCCTCCAGCCCGCCACTCGTCGAGGTAGTTGCTAGCTTGTTTGTCTGTCGCAAACTAGTTAACTAGGACCATCCTTTACTCTCCAGACGGGCGTGCGTAGTTGGACGTCTCACGTATAAACACACTGCCTGTAGTCTGGAGGTGACGCAATTCCCGATATCTTTGCCATTGGGGAGTCACGTTTTCACTAGTACTTCTCGCACTCAAAACAGGCCCGCAATTTTTTATTACTATTGATCATAACGTGCTGGAGAACTCCACTCGGAGCTCCACTGCTTAAAGACGGCGGGAAAATGGCAAGTCTCTTTCAATAATATCCCCCTTTCAGGAGAGTCGAGACCTGCCATTTTGTGGACGCACTAACCTTCAAAATTAAGGTGTCGGTGACTTGGCTCTCCGACCTCCCTGCGCTCCGAGTCAAATCAAGTAAGTGCAGCCTTCTCATACAAGGACTTCATTGTCCAAACGACGCAGTCCCAAGGCAGTAGCAATTATGCGTTAACATAGACAATGGTTTCAGGGCAGGTACGTACCACTAGTCAAATCACAACAATACATAGTACTCTGCGTCATTCATGGTCCTGGTTATCAACGTATTGCCTATTGAATGAAAGTTCAAGAGCTGGTAAGGACATAACGATTATCATCATGGTCTGCTTCTCTACTCCTCAAGTATTCTACCGAACGAGGATAAGCCGGCAGTTCTTCACTCGAGTCTTGCGAACAACCATCCGTAATCATTTGCTCGACCCAGCTTTCTACTCTGTGATTGGGATATTGATCTGAGGCGGGGACGTGAGACGGATATGGATACAGCTTCTCTAGCTCACGGGACCGATAGCGCCTGGCAAGGCTGGATGCGGAGATCGCATCATCAACCAAGTGAGATGATATGTGATCTGTAGCACATGATGGTGATCTATTCCCAGAATACTCTGCGAGGCAAGCGTCGGAATATTGAATGAATGATGAGCTTCTGCTGCTTGGACGGACAGCACCGGTGGCTCTCTGGAACTTGAACCCCGCCCGTGACTCAAGCTGCGTTGGCCCTGTGGTTGAAAGGAGGTTGAAAGGTGTTACAGAAAGTTGTCGTGTCCTGCGACGGCGCAGCACGATGAAAATCAGGAGGGCTAGAAGTACGATCGCTCCCACAGTTCCTCCTATGATGGTGCCTATGGTCGCAGGTAATCGAGGCCTTGAAGTGGTGTCAGGCACTGATGATGGTTGAGGCAATGGGCTCGAGACCATAACAATGATGGTCGATGTAACTGCGGATGAGAGAGGCCGAAGCAATGTGGCGGTGGTTGCGAGTATTTGGTAAGTCGAGGCGACTGTAGTGTAAGCAACATCAACAGCCGAATTACCACTAGGAGAGCCCCCACTCTCCGGTGATAATGTTGTGCGGTCAGCGTATGAGCTTGTTGACTGGGATAGGCTGTAACTACCGGAAGAAGGTCTGGGGGAGGCTGCTGTGCAGCTAGAGGTATCATCTACGGAGGTGCCACATAAATGTGACGGCTGAGGGGTATTGTGGGCAGGTGATGTAGAAGCAGCAACGGTAGTAGGAATCGATGTAGGATATGTGGACGAAAATGTGGAGAGTAGCGGAAAACCAACACAAGGATATCCGGGAACTGGATAATAGGAAGAACAATAAGACGTAAAGAGAGGCTGGGTGTCTGAGATATCCACTTGACGTTGAGAAATATGAGCTTCCGCCAAAAGTCGCGGTGCTCCAACCGCAAAGTTCTCAACTTCGCTAGGTTCCGACACTCTGCGCTTACCATATGATGCGGCTGTGATTGGACTAGCCTGCTCATCTGAGAAATGATCACTGTCGGACGAAGTGCAGTCTACGCAGTTGACCCCGGGCTCGTCTAACAGCTATAGACCATCTTAGTTGGCCATTAGAAAACGAGAAGAAAGTTGATACATACGCACATCCACATTGGTATTTCGTGTTCGGTCCAACAAGTCGGGACCATCCTCAGGTACAGTTTCCAACGAAGAGTGCTCAGTCTCGTCGTGGTTTAACGAACGTGAACGATATGTTAGATGATTGCGAAACAAAACATTAAAACGAGTGTGAGGGGGAGGGGGAGTCATTTCTCCCTTTGACCAAGAAATTTCGGGGTTTGGAGAACCATGTCGGCGAAATCGACCCTATTTGTACTACATGAGTGAGATCAACCTGATTTCACACCCTGAGTGACGACCAAACGTTTGAGCAGTGCCAAAGTGATCGTGGATCGTCCATGAGATATGATAATTAATAGTAACTCCGTGACCGAGGTTGACTGCTGCTGAAGTAAGTAGCAAGTGCCTGTGCCTTAACGCACCATTAAATCAAGCATTGTAGTTCAGTATACCTACAATCGGCGGAAGTTCGGTGCTTACTGGTTAATCATCTGGCCGTGGTTCTATTACAACAGTCATCATGATGTGTTTCACAAAGAAATCTTGAATGATGGGACTAAACACTGCAACGTTGACAGATGATCAGATGGCCTTTAAGGTTTCAAAAGTCATAATTATACCAATATTACAACGTTCTCGAATGAATCGCACGTGTTGTACGCGTTCAAGTTGTCCTACAACGGTACAATTTAGAGATCATCATGTGCCCGTATGGCGAAGACGTCACCCAGTACTAGTGTTGATTCCCAGTAGAAACCGCTTATGGTTTGATACGATGGTCCGATTAAGTATTTTCTGATCGTATTTTAGTCGATAGGGTGAGATACGGCAGATAATGTAGTCACATTATTTTACGACGTTCTTTGCACCACCCGGAGCACCGCTGTTGCAGCAGGAAAACAATTGCGAAAAGTTTCGAAATCAGAAATCGAGAACTGACTGGCAGAAAGAGGTTAGGAAAGGCTGGCTGCTGTGGAGAGTAAGAACATAAATGAGAGAATGAAGATCACGCTTCTGATACCCCTCGAGGAATTTCATAGAAGACAAATATAAACATATGTCTGATATGGTTTGAACGTTCGTATGTTTAACGTTCAGCGCTACATATGCCCGGGTTGCTTACCGAACGGCTGGACACCGTGACGGTGCAGATCGTAGTCACTTATTCAAGGTCATGTTTCCTGCGTTTGGGGCACTATCATGCCACCAAATGTATCCGACCCGAATTTATTGACGGCTGGGTCCATGCGTACTCCTAAAAGCGCCGATGGAGGCGCCGATGATGCGAGAGGAAGGACTAGCGGTGATCCAACGATAGGCAGCGGACGTAATATGATCGCTTTGCATCGGCGGCCTCATCAACAATACATGCCATATGTACAAATGTTCGTGATGTGGAGGGGGTAACGCGTTAAGTGTCAAAAGTACACCATATCGTGCATGGTCCTGACGACAGGAGGGGAAGAGCCGGGAGGGACATAATGATCATCATGATCTGCTTCCCCGCTCCCCAAAGATTTCGTTGAACGATACGCCGGTAACTCTTCACTTGGTTCTCGCGAACAATCCTCCAGAACAACTTGCTTGACCCAGTTTTCTACACTGGAATGGCGATAGTGATCAGAGTTGCGGGCGTGGGATGGAGATGGAGGTGGGTACAGTTTTCCTAGCCCGTTGGACTGTTGACCCAGGACAATGACGGATGCAAAGGGGTCGTCGGGCAAGTGAGATGATACGGAATCTGTGATAAAGGACAGGTATCTGTTGCCAGAATGCTCTATGAGGCCTGCGTCGGAATATTGAACCAACGATGGTCCTCTGCTGTTTGGGCGGACACCATCGCCTGTGCTCTGGGAATTGAGACAGACACCTGCTCCGATCTGCGCTGTTGTTGAGGGGAGGATGAAAGGTGTCACAGAGAGTCGTCTTTTCCTGCGATGCCATATCACAATAAAAATTAGAAGAGCTAGAAGCGCGACCGCTCCGATAGCCCCTCCTACGATGGCAGCCGTGTGTGGAGGTGATTGAGGGTCTGAATTGGTGTCAGGAACTGACGTTGGTTGAGCCAAAGGGCTCGAAACCATAACAGTGCTGCTCGATGAAGCTCCGGCAGATGCCAGGACAGGCTGAGATAGCATCGTTGCTGTTGTTGCGGGTATATCAGAAGTCGGGGCAACTGCGGCATCACTGGAAGTTGAGAATGTTGTGTATGTAGTGTACGAGTCTGATATAGGGGTGGTCTGCTGAGCAGACATCTGAAGGGTGGTCGTGGACAGGGAACAATTTCCATCACATTGAAAACTACTGCTGGGAGATGACGAAGTAGAATGAGAAGACGTAGGGGTAGGAGATGTAGGAATAGGAGATGTAAGGGTAGGAGATGTAGAGGTAGACGGTGGAGTGCTGACAGCCTGGTCGACGCTCATATAATATGTCGTCTCATAAATGATGCTTGTCGAAATCATCACATGCTGTCGAGCAACGTGACACTCCTTAACATGTCGCGGTGATCCACTCGAAAGATCCCCAGCTTCAAAAGATGATATTGTTGAAGTAGCCTGCTCATCGGAGAGATGGTCACTGCCAGACGAAGTGCAGTCCATGCGGTCGATCTCGGGCTCTTCAGGCGGCTTGGAACCTTGGTTGACTAATGGAAAACATATACTCAAGAAATTTCAAGGAGAAATTTGGGACTTACGCCCATCCACGCTAGTATTCTGTGTCCGATCTAACGAACTGAGATCATCCTCATGTCCAAAAATTATCGAAGGGTGCTGAGGCTCAGCACGGTTGAACAAATGGCTGGAACGGTGTAACAAACGATTGTGAGGTAAGAATTTAAAGCGAGCGTGAGGGGGAACCATTCTTCTCCCTTTGACCAAGAAACTCAGTGGGGGGGTCAGAAAACCATGTCAGCGAGACCGACCTTTTTGTACCAGAGCATGATCAGACAGCTTTCGTACCGTGAGTATGATCACGACGACAACGACACGTTCCAGCAGTGCCAATATGATTGCACGTCGTGGGACAATGAGCTATGTTGATGATCCTAGCGACCGCAACGTATGACCGCAGACGACCGTCATCATTAATTTAACGCACTATAATCAAGAAAGGTAGTCCAGCATCGATGAAAGGAAGTCTGGAACGGACTCGATCACCCACATGCGGGTTCTGGTCTAACAGCTACATCGTGAAAATGATATTTTCAGTCTGAAACCACGGATGATGGGGCCAAACATTGCCACTTGACAGATCAGTGATCCAAATTCTCGAATGTTTGATGTACATACCTAATTATTGCCTGTCCACACTGTCTAAGTTCTAGCCGTTTGAACTTTGCAGAACGTCCCAAAAACATGAGTTTAGTCGGCAAGAAGCAAGCAAGAAGTCAGACCACGCCGGAACTTTCAACTTCCGACATTCGTTCCTACATAGGACGTTACAGGACGTTAGATACCCAGAAATTCGTGGTATCTCAGCGCTGTCCTATTGTATTTTTGACGGTTGGCCCGGTGTTTCTGTTAACTGGTTGTTTCATGAATACGGCTGAGTTTAAACTCCGCTGCATTCATGGCCTTAGTAAGTCAGTTTGTTCCTCAGGCCTCAGGATCGCTGGATAGACCACTTCAATTATAGACACAAGTGTCACCGACCTTCGACCGTTAACGGGCTATTTGAACACCTTGAACGTCAGCCTTGCGCAGGGCGTTACATAAGTACGAGCAAGAATTTCTATCGAAGTGAGTATGCCCAACCTTTATGTATCATGACGATCAAGTATTCTGTATCAATCGATTTAACTGCGGACACAAAGAAACACCCGCTACATCCGCTCCAGTCTAATGCTCAGAAGCCGCATGGCAGCACCCAACACATCCCTTGCGCAAAAGTAGAGCCACAGCCTTGCGCGAGCCTTCTCCGTATCTTCTTCCCCTTTGACGATGAGTGTCTCCCAGGTGCTTGAAATCGCATGAGCTAGGCGGAAAGCGAAGGTCACCACGCCACTGGGCTCGTGCGTCTTTAGTGCAGTCTTCACGACGTCGGGGTAAGACCCTAAAAGAATGACGATGTCGCGTACGTGTTGGGATGAAGCGAGAGAGGAAGTGTCGATCTGGGATGGAGGTGGCAGGGGGATGAGCGCTAGCCTCCGCGTTTGCAAGGACGAATACTTTTTGATCCGGTGGTCTCCATGCCAAGCACCTCAACAATATTTACCGTCAGTCCACCAAGTACTAAGTACCTCAGCACCTCCTGACCCTCCCTCTCAGCTCATCGTCGATCTGTGCCGTGTGCGCATGATTCCTGGTCTTGTTGTATGCGCTCCACATGTTTGATCTCGACAATTGGAGCTAGAACTAGCTCTCCTTGACTCAGAAGTGAGTGTCACACCATTGTCGTCGTCGAGGTAGACTTCCTATCCCACTCTAACCACAGCCTGAACGGAGCTGGTCATGAACTCCATGGCGTACCCGGGCGTGGGAGCACATGTTCTGTATCTGCCTTTGCCTGATAGGTACGTGCATTTGGCTATCACTATCTACGAATAGTGCTAAAATAAACCCACCAAAAGCTACCCATACCTATATCTCGTACTCTGTCAGGTTTATTCAGAGCATCATGACTTCTCGACCGCCATGACAATATTGCATCGGATTCCTTCATCATCGTATATTCCGCTTTTCCGTCACACTCTTCAATGATTCTACCCACTAGCCATCCATATTGCCCGCTTTTTGTCCTCGACTTGATCCCTTGTCCTACCACTCATTCTGCGTCACACAGCCTGTCCTCCATCCTGGTCAACGCATCATCTCGGAAGATCAATCATATATCAGAGTTGAAGGCGTCACTCCATATTACCCTCCAAACCTGTTTGGTGATCCTTACGTTGAATCTACAGTCACGAGTGGATAATTCACCTCCTTCCTTACATCCGCAGGCATCTACGTGTCCATCAATGTCGACTCGAGTAGACGCTGCAAGTCATCTCTCCGATTCCCGAGTCCCATCGTCCGATAGTTCTGTAGCGTGGGGCGATGCCATGATAATCCCAGAGACTTGATGGTACTTCTCTTGTGGCGTTGAAATATATTGACAGGATCATGATATAACCGAGGTGGTTTCCTGTCACCCTTCCTTAATCTGGTTCTGCAGCGGCTATGACATTACTTGTCATGCCTAACTGGAAGTCAGCAAATTCATAAGCGATACCTGTCGCAGAATTGACTTCCATGAGACGCTTGCTGCACTGCAATTTCGCATGAACGAGATATGAAATTCAGTTCATGAATATATGAATCAGAGTGATCCATCAGCATATGGAGAATGCGACCTTAGCATGGTGGTGAGAATAAGTATTTGCTGTGGGGCCTGAAGCAAGGACGAGCGTATCACTTTAAGTTTCAAAGTCTTGCTATTCTAGACAGCGGTTTCGCGGATTGTAAGTGTCGAAGTCACGAACCTGTGAAAGTGCACGTCCTCCAACACTCGAGTACTCTTAGGCAAACTCCTCTCAACCTTCTTCCAGATATCAGACTCATTCACCCGCTGCTCTTCTCCCCACGAAATAGTATGATTCGTCGCCATCTTCCTCGATGTCCGGAAAATCGCCTAGTCAGTCAAGGAATACTGTTGGTGGGATGTCATTCAATATGGTGACTCGCCCTACTTGAGCTGTGGGTGGACCATGCCGGCGATGTCGATCGTGCGTCACTCTAAATTCTTCACTTCCGAGCCAAGAAGACCTGATTGTGACTCCAATTGTCAAGCTCGAGCCGTAAGAGCGCGTGTTGCGACAGGACGAAAAATATGAGTAAATGATATATCCGGAGGGTTGATGGTGCTTCCAAACGGTGTAGATATGTCGAATGGTGGGACTCGGATGGCTGCCTGCCAGTATCTCCTTAGGTTCAAGTTTGACGGACAAGAATATTCCCGCGATGGACTTTGAGGTGTTTGGCACGGAAATAGAACGTGGAAACCACCAAACGAATAGCGAGATTAGATGTTAAGTGACCTACCTGGATTAACTCTCCAAGCTACAGTGACACAATTAACGAGCACACGGATCGACGATGAATTAAGAGGGGGTAGTGGTGTGGAAGACTAGTGGCATTGTCGAGGCGCTGAGCATGGAGTCATAATGGTCAAAGTAAGAATGAGGATAGGGAGGGAAAGGATCGATAAGAACGGGTGAGTGGCCCATCTATGAATTTCTATGATGTGTACTACCCGCAGGACTCGTGAACCGACTACAGTAGTGTTGAACTGTCTTCGGCAAACACCGAAAAGCGCTTGTGACTGTACTATAGTTTGCTGCTGCTGAGGAAAAGACGCCCTTGGTTCAATGTCAGACAACCAGGTATTGTAAAAAATTAATTGTCATGTTTGCAGCTCCTTGTTCATTATGTTCCAAGTTGCAGTTGGGACACTTTTCATCACTAGCTATAGGTCTATGGTCTGTGGCCGCATTCAGCTATCTCATATTGCGCTTGAATCCCTACTTGCCATGTTCTCGCAGCCCGTCCCTGATGTTTCCACAACTCCTCCCCATGCCACTATCAGCTCAATCGGACACGTCGTATACAATCGTTCGGCCTTTCTGTCCTTACTGGTTTCAGCGGTTTGTATCGCTTCCATTTGCTATTCTAGTGCCTTGGCGAATACACTCGATTCTCAATCTTGTCTTTGTGTGCCAAATAAGTGATACGACTCCCTGATATAAGTCCAGGAGTACAAGACGCTCTGAGACTCATGTGTCCCCTTCAACCTTGGCGGGTTACTTTCGCTGCAGACCGATTATTACATTCTCTACTTCCTCTGCAAAGCAGGCTCTCCCGCTAACATTATATAGCCGGGCGTCTTTCTCGGCATCTCATACCAGCGTTTATCGCCCTCGACAATATGGAAATGCACGTGCAGTATGACCTGAACCCTCGGGCCTGAACCTCTCCTCTCAGTGAACTCCATCCACATTGCCCATATCCCTGCCTTCATCTTCCTCTCATTCATTCCACACATCACTCGTCCCGTCCTTGATCCTTGCCATTGCGCTTCATCGCACCATCATGCCCAGTAGCCTAGAAAGCCGATGCATCAGACTTGAAGGTAAGTCACATCATATTACCTTCGTATCCTTTCCATGATCCTCACGATCTATCTACAGTCATCAGCGGAAAGAATCTTAAAGCCCCCTTGTGGCGCATTCCCGCTGGCATTTACGTATCCATCAATGTCGACTCCCGGAGACTCTGGAAATCGACCATCAGTGTCTTATCATCGGATGAATATGTAGCATGGGGGAATACTGTGACTCTGTAAAGTCCATGGAGACTCTGACACGACGCTAGAACTGATCTTCGGTTTGTAGATCATCACACGCCTCACCTGCACTATCAGTGGAGATCAGGGCATCCTATGAGGTCGATCGAATGCTAGGTAGTGGAGGGATCATCGGGAAACTTCAAATGTCATGGGATGAGCTGCTGGGTCATGGAGACGAGTCATTCGGTGAGCAACTTACTTCTCATTCACGCGCATATACTAACATTGCATAGATCTATTCTTCCCACCCATTCGTGGTGCCTGCCCTTCCCTCACGCTGAAGGCCGTCGTTGTACATGCTTGCGACGATCAGGACAGCGCACTGTCTGATGTGAGTGACGCTGGCTTCTGCTGTTAACTTTTTCTGATGGTGCACCAACTGTAGTCCCCCGTATACAGTGATATTGCTCGAGACACAGATGCAGGCCATGCACGATTTGCCGAATACGCGACGAGCGGGACGGTCTCTCACCTGAACGATGCTGTGCAGCATTTTCAGTTGGTTCTTAACCAGTGCCCGGTCGGCCATCCTGATCATGCAGCAGCTCTCACCAACCTCGCGAATGCCCGCCTTGAAGGCTACATTCGAAACCATCTTCAAGACATCGATACCACCGCTTCCTTCTTCCGCGAATCCCTTGCGTTGCGTCCGCAGGGTCATTCCGATCACGCATCATCCCTCCATGATCTCATTAGAGCATTGAATTGGCGCTACAGCAAGGAGTCCACCGCCATCTACATTGAGGAATCCGCGCAGCTGTGCTGCAAGCTGCTGCCCCTCTGTCCAGAGGGCACCTACCTTCGTAGCATCAGCGTAGACAGTGCGTTCAATTATGCGATCAACAATCTGCCAATCGACGCATCGATGAAGCCATTCACCTTCGACGAAACATGCTCGAGCTTTGTCTCATGGGCCAACAACACCGTCCAAATGCGCTTGACAAACTTTCATGGGCTCTCTTCATGCGCTTTACACAGTGCGGCGACATTGATGATATAGATGAGAGCATTCACCTTCGTCGTGAAGCTGTTTCTCTGTGCCCCACAGGACATTCTCATCGCGGCTCCTACCTGAACAACTTGGCCCTTTCACTCAAGAACCGCTTCGATCACCAAGGCAAACCCAATGACCTTGATGAGGCGATCACTTCGTTTGAAGAAACGCTGCGTCTGCGCCCTGTTGGGCATGAATTTCGTCACTTCTCATTGGACAACCTTGGGCTCGCCCTGATCACCCGTTTCAACAAACGCAATAACATTGATGACATTGCCCGAGCTATCAGCCTCCATCGCGAGGCACTCACGTTGTGCCCACCTGGGCATCCACATCGTGACATCAGACTTAACAATCTTGCCCTCGCGCTCCAAAACAGATATGTCAAAACATATGTCAGCGAGGATCTTAACGAGGCCATTAATTGGTATCGTGAATCCTTTCGGTTAAAGCGGCTTGACGATCCAGAGCGCCATGCAACTCTTTACAATTTGAGCTCGGCGCTCTGCTCTCGTTTCATGCAAACTCAGACAAATGAAGACGTCGAGGAGGCCATTCAACTTTGCCAAGAAGCGCTGGCGTCTCTGCCTTCACTGCACCCAGGCAGATCCAGGAGCTATGCATGGCTACAGATGACTTATCTGTCTCGTTACTGCATACAACACAATCCTGTTGATTTATCGCTTGCAGTGGAGAACTTCAGGCTGTCGTCGCAGCACCCCACTCAAGGATTCCCAGAACGCATCATTCAGGCATATAATTGGGCCATTGCAGCGGAGCAGCATGGACATGAATCCGCACTGGAGGCCTACTCGACATTTTTCGAGCTTCTGGATGCTCATTTAGCAACACGATCATCGGCGACTTCACGACGCGAAGCTGCGGCGGCGTTTCGTGATATTTCAAGACTGCCTGTAGATGCAGCATCGTGTGCCATACGTCGTTCCAATGTTCAACACGCAATCGAACTGGTAGAGCAGGGTCGTGGCCAGCAATGGTCGCTCGCCTCTCGACTCAAGACTCCAGTTGAAGACCTCGAGTCAGCAAATCCGACACTGGCACACAAATATTTGGAGCTGAGCAAGTGTGTTTCAAGTGCTGCACAGAGTTCTGCAACCATCACCGACAGAACTGCTGCTGATCGGGCAGCAACAGAGTACAGGAGACTTGCAAAGCAATGGGAGAACGTGGTAGCTGAGATACGTAATCTTCCGGCGTTCTCGCGGTTCCTGCTTCTACCTTTGTACGAAAACCTGCAAGCGGCAGCACGTCATGGCCCGGTCATTATCCTCATTGCCAGTCAATATTCGTGCAGCGCCGTCATCGTCCCGACATCAGGAGACCCCCATCATATTTCGTTGCCGTCTGTCTCTCTCACAGAACTGAATAATCTTAAAGAACGCTTCGCCAGGGCAATACGACACGCGTCTATCATGGGCCCAAAAGTACCGCGCAACGATCTAATAGTTCTTTTGCGGACAGTGTGGGACGTGATCATGCTACCCATCGTCAACGTACTCGAGAACGTCCTCGATCTAAAGCACCGCTCTCGAATCTGGCTGTGTCCTACTGCAGCTTTCACGTCTATTCCTCTCCATGCGGCTCACCCCTTCCAAACAAAGGCAGATGGCTCTAAGGAGCCATGCCTGGAGGATCTCTATATCTGCTCTTACACGCCGACACTTTCGGCTTTGGTCAGATCTAGACAGATGATGAAGAGGCGTGTCACTCCGTCCTTCGCGACAATCGGACAAGGTCAACCGGGTGCAGGGAAAGGCAAGGCGCTCTTGGCTGTCGACAGCGAGCTCGAGCTTGTCCATAAGTTAGTCCCTACAACAGCCAACCATACGACTGTTTCTGGGGATGCAGCGACACGAGCAGGTGCACTCCGAGCTTTGGAAGAGAACACCTGGGTGCACCTCGCTTGTCACGGAAAGCAGGACCCTACGCAGCCTTACAATTCGCATTTCGTCATGAGAGATGAACATCTGACGCTGCTTGATATCATGGAGAGAGACATTCCGCATGCCGAGTTCGCATTCTTATCCGCTTGTCATACCGCCGTTGGCGATGAGGAAACGCCCGACGAGGTCATTCATCTCGCAGCTGGTCTCCAGTTTTCAGGGTTCAAGAGTGTCATTGGCACGCTGTGGGAAGTCAACGATGCTGTCGCAAAACACGTCGTCGAGGCGTTCTACAAATATATGTTCATGGATTTGAAGGATGGTGCCGGTAGTGTGATGGACTGTACGAGGGCGGCCTGGGCACTCAACCGTGCTACACATGCTGTGAAGACGAAAGTGCCGCTCGAGCAGAGGATGGTTTTCATTCACATCGGTGTGTAGTTCTACGTCGTATTGCTCTCGTCTGGTGCATATTACAAGTTGTTGATCTGCGATCCTCTTCCACCTTTTTTTTTTGTAAAAGTGACCCTGGTATTCTTGCGCTCCAGCTACCTCATTTTCGTATACTCTTTCGTGTCTTTACCGACTAGAATGTTTTCATCAAAAAATTTTGTATACTACTCGACTCGTTTGCAGCCTCGTCTTGAGTATTTAGATAGTACAAGCCCAATCAAGCCGAACGCCATCCAGTCATACCATCTTTCAAACTTTCAACTATAAGCATAGAACCTCGACTAGTAACCACTGCCAATAACATCAACGTCAAGTTAGAAACAGGGGTCATCTACCTCATCCGTGCAAACTTGCGCACCTATCGAAGTTGGTAGTTTTATCAATCCCGGATGGGCCCATCTGTGCACTGTTTAGTATCCTCTTCAACACCAGTGCTGAGGCGTGGGTTCTAACACTTGGACGTTCCTATCGGTCGTCCATTTGATCTAACATAACTTCAAACATTCGAGCTTTGTTCGGTTTGGCGCTCGCTCAACAGCTGAGCGAAAAAGCCCGCTGAAAGAAATCGTTGTGGGACCGCTCACCTTCGAAGACACATCGATACACAAGTGGATACCTGTGGCTCTCTCGATCGTCTGTCGAAGTCGATTCTCAAGTTGCCGCCTACCATCGCACCAGCGAGAGTCGCAAAAGAAAGATACATATTCACAGCTACACTGAAAAATTCAACAACATCAATGAAACTGCATCCGTTACTAAAGCGTAAGGCTATAATCATATTCCGTCTGCGCACTTTGTGCAATCCAAAGCACAACTGACGACAGCATCAAGGCCACGTTCTGCGATACGTTGGCATAGCCGTAGTATGTGTATTGTTCGGGGTAATCCATCATGACGTATTTCAGCACAAGAAGAGACTAGATGGAACATTGAATATTTGGTGGCGTCAGAAGAAACATCAAGGCTTACCACGCTCCCCGCGAGTCCACCAGCCATGAAAGCAAATCCAATGAATAGGAAAAGGCGTGCCCTCCACACAGCTGAGGAGTCTCCATAATCATCCCCTCTAATCCTATCCTTGTCGATCAAGTTGATGATGAGCATACCAAGGAGCGAGCAGAAGCCCGGCACCCAATCAACGAACTGCACATGCACAGGAGGCGGAATTTGGGGGTCCTCATAAGGCGGGTGAGCATGTGCGGACAAGATGGCAGCATCAAGGAAAGTCCAATTTGCAAGTGCGAACTGCGGAAGGGCATGCAATTAGCATCAGGGCAGTCGGTGGAAGAAGCGCACAGACCAAAGCGCCTGCGAGGTAAATGCCAATAGTCCGGCGATGCTTTCCGAAGTTCAAGTTGAGATCTGGAAATGGGTTTAAACACACCCTACGAGGGTCATAGTCTGAGCGAGGGAGCGACATGAGTGGTGGAGACAAGCTTGCAGTTGCATACTCTTTTGCTGTGTTGGTCACAGGCGGTCATCGGATCCGTGGGAAATTACTTGTTAAACAGCGAACAGCGCATCAGGACAGCGTTATATATTAGATTCTTATCTATATATTCTGGTTATGGCGTAGCAGTGTCAGACGCTCCTCAAAACATTAACCCAATATTATAATGGACACAGTGATTCAATATTTGGAGCCTGCCAGCCATATACTAGCGTTTGGTATCACCTTTGTACGGGTTCAATATTTCAGGGTTAGGGTCGGAACAACGTTTCTGAGGAAACCGTCTCCGTGGACACCTCATGTCATGCAGTACCCTTACCTCTCCCCAAACGCTCCAGACTGAAACGTTCATGGGAATCACTCGTCTACTCTTTCTTCCTACTAAAACAATACATTTCCTGAGTCAATTTCGCACTTGCATCCAAAACCTTTCGTTCAGCGTACAACACATGTTGACGATAGCAAGGTCTCCAATCCAAAGACTATATTCTGCTGTGCAACTCGGTAGGTACAACCGTAAAGATCTTTAAAGTTACAACAACAGGGTATCTTCGTGATGTGCGGGGCGGTATGAATGGGGTGGGGGTACGTAAAATCGTCAAGAGTGGACATAAGTGAGGGATGGTGGTAGCGCACGAAGGGTATTGTGCGTGGAATGATGTGAGTATGCACATAAAAACCCATGTATAATTACAGCTAATTCAACAACATTGTATCCACAGAAACCAAGATCAAACATGGAAGAAAAGGTGAGCGCGTGCGGACGTGGATGTGGATGTGATGAAGAGGTGATTTTACAGGTGTCCGATGAAAATAAAGTCCAAGGCCGATGACGCCAGCGTACATCGGTTAAGAGCTCAGAATCCGGCAGGTCCCACTAGCATGTTGTCAAAGTTGAACAACTGCTCAAACGTATCGTGCCCTTGCACCTCGAGCGGATATTGGTTTGCCTCCATTGACGATGCGTCAAAGGAGCAAGGCGCGTAGTCAATGTTGAATGCCGACGGGTGCTGGCTCATAGACACCAACTCCCCTCCGCATCCTGGCATACCGAGCTGAATTGGAGGGATAGCACTCAGGTCGAACTCGTCTCCAACAAGAAGGTCACCGTGGCTTTCCCACGCGCCTTGTCCTTCCCAAGAATACGATTCGGGGTACCCGAAGTGCACATTATCCAGAGGCGATCCAGACATGGGTGAATCTATTTCTGCTTCATTCAGGCATGACGCACTGTCTAGATCACGCGGTGCCTCGTGGTACGAGAATGCAGGAGGCATGCAATTTATGGGTGTATAAGGGCCGGAATGCGGGCCGGACGAAGCGGATGTTATCGACGACGCTGGGGAAACCATTTGTTGACTGGCGTGCAGCATGGACATATCGGTGGAAATCGACAGAGGATGAGGCGCAGATGGGTTCTCGAACATCCCATGGTAGAATCCATTGGCCTTGGGCGCTATTGTTAGCCTGGACTCAAGTTCGGACGTAAATCGGGTACTCACATCAAGGCCTGACACATAGGCGTTAGGGTGTGAAAACTGCTGTTGGGGAAAGAAATCGAACTGTGACGATGATGAATTCAATCCATGGTCCGGATGCGATGCGCGGCGGCTGATCATCGGCAACAGCGATGGCGATGTCGGGCACGAAGGCATGTAAACCGTCGGAACTTGGATTGTCTGCCGAGTAGGCGGGGGAGTGGGAGCGGACGCAGAACGGCCATGCTTCATCACCGTCGGAGGCGATAATGGAAGCACAAAGGAGATGCTGCTCTCACAATCTGTCTCGTGCTCAAACTCGCCTCGCTTACTCTTCTTCCCCTTCTTGTCCTTCGATCGCTGGGGGCGATATACGTAATTCGGGTACATCTGCTCGTGCTCCTTCTTCTTCTCCTTCGCCTGCTCTTCCCAGTACAGCCGCTCCTCTGCAGAAAGCGCTTTCCACTGCTGACTGATCGTTTTTGACAGATCTGCCTGTCGCTGCTTCTTCGTTGGTGCATCAGCGTATGCTGCTGATACTGCCTCCTCTTGAGCTTGTTGGCGCTCCTCACAGCACTTCCTGCGGAAGAGGATGAAAGCATTTTCAGGGCGTTTGATGTAATCTTCATCGCCTTTTCGTGGTCTACGCTCGATGTCGCTGCATATCGACGACTTGCGGCGTTTGTGCGATGATGGTGATGCAGGCCCAGAAGATAAGGTATTGAATGATGATGTCGAGGAGAAGACCGAAGTCGATCCTGAAGATGATGACGAGGGAGATACAGGGGAAAGAGTGCGAACGAGAGTGGAGTGTGAAGGGGTGAGCGTGAGCTTCCGGAGATCTGGCTCAAATGGTGAATCAACAGGCGATGAGTAAGGACAGGTTTCGTTTTGATCAATAGGGAAAGTGAAGGCGCGCGGCGTCGGGGAAATAATAGCCAAGGTAGGCGGTTGAAGGGCATCTGTAATCACCTCAAGTGCTGTTGAGGTGAGTGATTAGCATCGAATATGGAGGAACAATGAGCTAATTGTTGAATAAAGGGGCTTACATTGAGAAGGGGTATCGTGTGTGCGGAACGCAGGCATGATTGTTGTGTCTCGAGGACCGCGAACAATGGCTGCTAAGGTGAGTGAACGGTTCTGAAAGGGGGGAAATAATGGGAAGGAAGAAGGGGATGGCTGATGATGCGGTGGAATAATAGGTTTCGCTAGGCCGTGGCACGCGGCTACTGAACTGTTTTTCTTTGTCTCACAAAGCGCGCTATCGAGCAAACAATTGGGCGAGTGGGGCACACAAAGCGAAAACAATACGGACCGCCCGTTATATACCATGATCAATTCGAAGATCGAAAAGTTCCGTATGAACTTAAATGCTACATCCGTTTGAAGGAGGACGCTTTGACTGTATTGGGATACTTTCATTTCGCGGTGCTCCGAATTTGGGGGAAACAATGAGAGGGAAGCATCTCTCCGCTTATGCAATCCAGTAACCAAATACCGCATAAACACATTTCTTATTGTCTTTCCGCCGAATTTGCTGGCTTCCTCGGCCGGCGATATCCCCCAGACTATCTAATCACAGATTATTGACCCCGTTTTTCCCTCCCCTTGTATACCCACGCAGAATTCAGTCCTTCCATTCACCTGTCGTCTTCCCGCGGCATCATGTGTCACCCTCCGCTGACGGTTCCGTCCCTCTGGCATCCCATCTTTAATATTCACGGACCATGCTGAATGGCCATACCATAACGCCTCCTTTACCCGCCAGTATGATGCCGGCCCTTTACGTTTTCACATGCTGGAGCGCTGAAAGGGCTATTCTTGGATTATCTTCCTCGACGTTAAAGATTCCATTCTAGGTATGCAAGACCCGTAAACTTGTATATGCCACGCTCGATTAGGCAACTATGAAGATTGACTCGACTTCATATCTCGAGGGAAAGGAAGGTCTAGCTGGATTCTACGGAGACCTGCGTGGTGGCTATACATTCGTCGTCCTACCCCCCTTCTCGGTTGTAAAGGATTAGCATCGAACGCGGTGGCGCTGGAGTCATACTAGCGAAAGCTATTTTCCGTGCGATCCATTTTGCTTATTTCCGCCATCTACCCGCCAATCAAGCATACCGCGCGTCCTTGTCCCGCTCACCTGTGGGTCATGCGGCTGCACAGCAAGGACTTTAAACTCCAACTTGAGACGTCATCAGACCAAGCGCTGAATAGTAAGGACCTCCTGTCATTTACCCCACATTGATGTACGTATCCTAGTACTCGCTTTGGCTAAGCCCCGTGTGGTCGTACATTGCAACGAAACGTTAGACGGAATATTATAACACCATTTGGACAGCCTCCAGAAAGGAAATACATGTACCCTTTGCCCTGCCCTCTATCATAACACGTGTAGCCCACTACACCAACAACTCGGTACAATGTATTGAACATTCTGGGAATATTTTCAACCTGCAGGTCGCTCGGTGGATGTGCGAGGGAACCCCTCCCGCCCAACGCAGACCAATTCCGCTTTTCGCCCCTTACAGCCGACCACGTGTGTGCGCTGATGCTTCTTTGTCCATTCTTCACCGCGGATATAATTATACTCATCCGTCAGAGAGCCTTCAGTCAAACCTCAACACTCGGTGGGATACAAGTATACCACAGTGAGAATGTGTTTTTCTGTCAAGTTGGACCTGAATCCTCCTGTACCACGCGCGCCAGGAGAGGTCGGACCATCCCACTTTCCCCACAGTCTAAAGTGCGTCATCGGCTTAGAATGCCGTACGTACTGTTCCTAGGGTTACACCGCCCACTTGCTGTACTTGAGCTCGGAGACTTGAAATACGGATCACAACTTGAATTCAACGTACAGCTAACGTCAATGTCTCGTCGGAGCATATCCACTCTCCTCATCCTCGTAAGCTATCCTCGGACTTGGAGGGTCGCTGAACCACCGTGGTCGGCAAAAGTGCGGCTCATCCCATTACCAGCCACGCCAACGTTTCGGGATATCGGTTAAGGCGGTCCGATAATATTCTGGAATATCTTTTCAAGTTAATATCAAGAAAACACTCCCGCCTTTGAATGTCGGGACGAAATCCGGAGAAATGCGAAATATTAGCGATGATGATGCGCACTCACTTCCTTTGACGTGACACGGTGGGAATGACGCGGATCGCGGAACTGAATGTCTTATGCAGCGGAGTCATCTGAAGGACTCTGAATCATAACTCAATTTGATCTTCCTATAGACAATGAGCGAAGCATGTACCGCTGTGAGGCTGAGGATGAACAATCACGCCTCTGATAAGGGATGATAGACTCTTCATACGATACGCTAATTAAGATAGGATTTATCTATTCATTCGGGAATGAGTCAGGATGACACAAGGACAAAGCAGTCATCAAGCGATCTGAATCACGGTAGTGGACGAAGCGAAGATGGCCCCCGACGAAGGGCTCGCCTGATATCGATAGGATTCAGACTGCAAAAGCTCGTGGCGTATCTAATTACCTATTAATCCACGATGCAGCAGCGAAGGCCCGTCTTATGCTGGTAGCTGACGTAGATATCAACACGAGGCAGCCATGCGGCAAGTCATACCAATGCGTCCAAAATTCATTTGCTGTTCTTCAGTTGAACCTAGGTACCTCTCATTGCCAGCTCTCTACGGAAGCCAACAAAAGGGGACGATGACGAAGACGCACGCAATTGATTGATCTGACGACTGGCG